CAGGCCTTCATCTGAATAACCGATTGGCCCAGTTGTGCTTATGCCCTGATCAAGTCTTGATACAAACGCCTCCCAGAAGGGGCTGGGCTGCCTTGGAGCCATGGAGTTGCTCCCATGAGGCCTTCAAGCCAAGGCCAAGTGAGCACTTACTGGGTATGAAGTAGAGAGAACTCTTTCTGGGTGTGGGTTGGCCTCGCTGACCTCTGAAACTCCAACTCCAGGTGTGGGTGTCAAAGTGGCTTGTGGCACAGGAGTAGCAAGGAGCGCCAGCTGTTGATGACGTCTGGGCATGAGACTGCCTCAGCCAATCTGGTTAGAGGCAGGGAGTCATCACATATGAGAATCTACACAACCCATAGAGGTCATCAGGGTCCATCCCCAACCCTTGTATCTTCTAGGCAGCTGGAGGCAAGGGGGTAGAGTGTAGGACTTGGGGTCAAGAAGACCCAAGTTCAAATCCTGCCTCAGACCCTCCCTAATGGGTGACCCTGGGCCAATCTCTTAACCTCTCTGTTCTTCAGTTTCCTCATCTGTGAAATGGAGATGATGATAATAATGAGGATTAGCTCACAGAGTTGTTGTGATGGTCAAGTAAGTGATAAATGTTTTGCAGAATGTACGGCGCTATATGAATGCTGCCCATTGTTGTCGTCATCAGCATTGCCTTCCTGGCGATGGCTTCGATTCTTGCTGAAATATATCTAGTTTAAATAAGCTTCTTTGAAAAGTTGGCAGAAGACCCCAAGTCCATCACTTCAGGGACAGGTATCATTATCCACCTAGAGCCTGTGCCATGAAAACAGACACCACATGGCGGTTTGCAGAAGTCAACCCAGACCCCCCTTGCACAGTAGAGGGCAAATTAGGTCTTCCCTTGGGACAGGGCCTTGGAGACGTTTGGGGTGCGACCTGCCTGCCATCATCCTGGACCAGTGGTACCACCTATTGGCTTTCCAGGGGGCCTCTGCCTGTTGTTTATGGGCACACTCTCTCAGCTAGTGTCTCATTGAATCAAGACGGCTCTGAAGTCGGACGACACGATGTGGCTGGTCAGGAAGCACCTTGGCGTCCTGGAGCATGTAGCTCAGACGAGTGGGTCTGTGCAGATGTATAGCACGGACGGAGCACGGGCTTAGAGTTGGAAGGACCTTTGAGGTCCTCTGGCCCACTCCCTTCATTTGACAGATGACAAAATGGAGACCTGTCTGAGAGTCAGAGGGATCTGCCCACAGACACGCAGGCAGTGGGTGAGTGAGAACTGGTCTGTAATGCCACGTAATCCCAGGCTACCGCTGACTTGTGTTGATTTTTGTGGGGACCGAGGCTACTCTAAAGAGAAGCTGCCCCGTGTCTCTGGAGAATGTGTCGCTAGGCAAGAAACTCAAGAAGACCCTAACTCCATCACTTCCACGATAGGTATCACCCTCCCCCAGAACTTGTGCCATGGAGACAGACTCCAAAATGGGTGTTTGTCCTCAGCACTTAGGAACACACGATGTTTGCCGCCTTTTTTTTTCCAGTTGAAGGTCCTAACTTTGGAAGAGGCACTTGAGATGCTGTCACTCTCAAAAATCTCCCATGGCTCCCCATCGCCTACAGAACCAAGTCTAAACTCCTTAACTTGACATGCAGTGCTAGCAGTGATTTAGCCCCAACCCAGTTTTTTTCAGCCTTCTTTGAATGAATGCTAAATGAGTCAGCAAACTTCAAAGGACCTAAGCTTTTTAAATAGAAGTGATTTGTTTCTTGTTCTCTGAGCATCCATTATATGCTTTCTCATCTCAAACTGCTTGATCCCTTGATTATCCTCCCTTCCAGTGCCTGGCACACAGTAAGCACTTAATAAATGTTTATGATTGGCTGGCTGACTTTCTTGCTCCATGTGACCAATTTCTACTCATCCTTTAAAGTCTCGTGGGAATGACCCCACCTGCTAAGCATGAAATGGCATCCCCTTCCCCTGAACCCTCCCAGGGCTGTCTAGTCATTCTTCACTTATTATCATTCCCATTTTGCCTTCGATTATATCTGTTGGTGGCCAGGGGATCTCTTTCACTAAACTCAAAGGTCTGGAGGGTTTGCTAGGTTTACTAGGATTGCTGCCCTCTGCCTGGGGCTTGCACATCCTGGAAGCAGTGGGTACACGAGGGCTGGCAGCCAAAGAGAGACTCAACGCTGTCATCCTTGCCCCCCCTGCCTGGGGTGGTCAGGGCGGCCTGGGGGTTAGGCCTGAGGGCCTGGCCAGACAGAATGTCATCAATACTGAGTGCACTGGGGCATGACCGGGCTTGTTTTTCATTGAAACAAACCAGTGAGCTGTGCAGAATCACAGAATTTTGGAGTTGGAGGAGACCGCGCCCCCGAGTCACCCAAATTCCCAGTCCCTTACAAGTGGTTATCCAGCCTGTGCTTGGGGATCTCTAGGAGAGGGGAGGGGAGCTCACTGCTCCAAGGAGCCCGTACTGTTTCCAGAGAGCTCTGACTGTTGAAAAGCTTGTGGTTTTCTTTTCAACCCCAGGCCTAAATTTGCCTTTATACAATTTTCTCCCTCGTATCTTGGGTCAAATAAAACAAGTCTAATCACTCTTCCATTGGACAGCTCCTCAGATGCCTCAGCACGGCTGCCACGTTCTCTCAGGGCACGCTTGTGGTCCTTCCCATACTGTGATCGCCTTCTTTCCAGATTAAAGCATACACTACTTGCCACACTGCCTGTCCAGGGCGGTGATGGCATCTGGCCCGTTCTTGTATCTGGAAGCTTCGGCCCAAGATCACTTAGTGTGTTTGGCTGCTGCATCACGCTGGGACTCCGACCAAGCTTTTGGCCCGCTCAATCTGGTGGATGTTTTTCAGACACGTCACTGGCTAACGATGCCCTACCCCTTCCCTCACCCTGCCCCATTTTGTTCATGGGAAGCTAATTTTTCAATCCTTTGTAAGACTTTACGGTTATCTCTATTGAATATCATCCTAAGGGATTCAGCCCCGTGCTCTGAGAGTTTCCATTATCGAGAAAAAACATTTTCTTTCTCTTTTCTTTTTCAGAAACCCTTTCATTTCACGATGATTTATGATGCTTTAGTGGCATCCCTCAGCCAGCCCTCCTTTTGGGAGAAAGTCACCAAGGATCTCCACATGGTTGGGGTGAGTGGGCAGCCCCCTGATGGCAGGGAGCCCCTGCTTCATTTCTGCAGAAATGTGGGCTTGTATGGAAAAAAACACCTGCTCACAGAGAGTCTGTGATCTTTTGCCATTGATACACAGGTGAGGCTGCCCAGTGGAAAGAGAGCTGAGGTGGGAGTCAGGAGGCCTGGGTTCAATCCTGGTTCTGATGCTTAGGAGCTGTGACCTTGGACAGCTCGAGCTCTCTAACCTCAGGTTCCTCATCTGTAAAAAGGGGGCATCAGCATTTGTGCCACCTGCCTCGCAGGGTGGCTGCCAAGAAAGTGCCTCACAAACACTAAAGCCTAACAAACATGAAGGGGCTGCTGGGCACCAGGCTCTAGGCTGGGTAACCAGCACCCCAAGATCAGCACAAAGCAGGCCCAGCCTTTAGGGAGCTGACATCTGACAGCAAGTGGAATCCCTGCTGCAGCTGCCCTTCCTGAAGGGATGGGCCTCTGCTCCTGAGCCTTGCTCCAGTTGTCCTAGGGATTCCTTCCCACCATGCCCACCGTGCCCCATCCAAGGCTTGCCCAGGGTCACAAAGCTGGTAGAAGCATCTTGAACCTGGGATTTCATAGGTAGAATAATTTCATTTAAGTTAATATTGGGAGTTGGTTTAAAAATGATTTACCCACTGTCACTGCAAAGATGCAGGGTTGGGGTGTGCCCAGCTCTGTGCAGAGGGCCATTTGCATTTCTCTGCTCCCTGGGGTGCCACGGCCAGACAATTCATCACCACGCACCGGGGCTCCTGATAACGAGGGGAGCCCAGTTGAGCTGCCGCAACTTTTACTGGACTGCTAGAGACGTGGAAAAAAATGAGGGACTGTCGGCATGGCTTATGGAGGCATCTGACTCTTAGCCTGCCTTTGACACGGCGGTCTTAGCCTGCTCCTTACTGTGCAAGGATGTAGACATAGGTGCAGATTTGTGTGTGCATGTGCGTGTATGTATGTGTGTGTATGGTTATATGTGTGTTTATGTATGTGTGTATGTATATATGAATATCCTCGATGTAGGAAATAGAGAACCAGGGAGGCCTGAGTTCAAGTCCTGCCTTTGTGATATATTGGCTAGGTGACCCTCAGCAAGTCACTTAACCCCTCAGTGTCCCCAGGTGATTCTCTAAGATTACAAATTTCAGGACGGTGCTAATCAAGGGGAAAGAAAATTTCCTCACTGAGCTGCCTGCACTAGTGAAATCCCGGGTCAAATCTGGGCTAAAATGATTCATAGAATTCATCCATAAGAATGTTTATTAATCCCCTCCTGGGTGCCCAGAACTGTGCTAAGCTCTGGGGATAGAAGTACGAGGAACACAACGATCCTTCCTCTCTCTCTCTCTCTCACACATACACACACAGAGCTACACACACACACACGTGTGTGTGTGTGTGTGTGTGTAATATAAATAATGTGACTGTCCCATAAATCCTGCAGGGCTGAGAGTCAGGGTGGAGTTCTAGACAGAGAGCTGGGCTCAGAAAGACCTGGGTTCTGGTCCTACCTCAGATACTCCTGGCTGTGTGACCCTGGCCAAGGCGCTTGGGCTCTCACTGCTCTAAGACTAAGCTGCAGAGAGATGTGACTGGTATCAGTAAAGAGAGTTTCCTCACCTGGGATTTCTCCATACTAGTGACATCATAGGCCCACCCTTATTCTACAGGGGAGCCAATGAAGGGAGAAGGAGAAGGTCATGGGCCTGCAGGTTTTAGAACTGAGAGGAGCCCAGAAATGACTCTGTAATCCCTTCATTTTACAGAAGAGGAAATGTTTTGAGATGCCGCAGACCAGGTGACTGGCCCAGGGTCATACAGGTAGTAAATTGCAGAGCCATGAGTCCGCCCCGGTCCTCTGGTTCCCAACGCACCTTGCCCAAAATTAAGCAGTTGAGCCTGTGGCCGAGCTGCCCAGTGACTCCCAAGGGAATATCTGTCACTCTGTGCTGTGGTACCAGCTTCAGTTGGGGCCATGCCGCCTTGAAGCCAGAGACTGGGCCCAGCAAGGTGGAATTCACTTTTGGCAAAGCTCACATTGAAGTTGTGCCAGATGGTAGGGGGCTGCCAAGCGGCTTCTCCAAGACGGGAGGCTGCTTGGTGTTTGAGCAATGGGGACCCCAAAGATCGTACTGCCTTCTGCAGCTTTCCCCGCTGAGGCCCAGGGGGCTGTATCCAGCTTGCGTCATCAGTGAAATTACACTCTGCCGACTCACGGGGGCCTTAAGTGGACAGGTAAGAAGATGCCTAGAATGTGTCCCAAGTGGAATGCAAGCTCCCAAAGGGCAGGCCCTCTTGGGGATTGTCTCTGTATCTCAGCACCCAATGCCTGGCACTTTGGGTGGGGGTTGATCAACGTTGATGACCCCGAGGTCCCTCCGAGAGGCCTCAGAGGCGCTGTCCATCCGTACCTCAGACACTGAGTCTTAGTCTTTGCCTAAGCATCGACCTTACGGGGAGCCAGCCTAGATGAACCAGGGGCAGAAAATTAGCCCCCAAGAGCTGGGGAGAAGCCGCAGGGGCAAACAGAGCCATCGGTGCCACCCTGAAGGGAGCAGGCCTGACCTGGCTTCTGGGAGCTTCCTGAGAAATCCCTGTGGTTTCCATCAGTACTTTTCTGGGAACATGGGCAGGGGGACAGCTGTACTGGACCCTTCATTGTTGCCTGGCTTACATGGTTTCCTGATTTTTTTTTTTTGTTTTACAACTTAGTCGTTTCTGGAATCTCCCCCCTCCCCCAATCCTGGTATTGACTACTATTGCCAGTCAGCCACCTAGCAGTTATTAAGCCCCACTGTATACCAGGCACCGTGCCCTGGGGATACAAAGAAAGGCAAAGGCCAGTCCCTGCCCCCACGAGCCCGTGGTCTAATGGAACCGTGCACAAACAAGATTCTAGGATAGACTCTGGGCAGGCCCTGAAGAAAGGCACGAAGATTCAGGAGGGCAGGGAGAGCTTTTTGTGGAAGATGGGACTGTAGCTGAGACTTGAAGGAAGCCAGGGAAGCTCAAGGCAGAGAGGAGGGAAGGCCACGCCAAGCATGGGGGTCAGCCGGAGATAATGCCCAGAGCATGTGGGCCCTCCTGAAGGGGTCCTGGGGGCAGGAGGAGACCCCAGCCACTCACGCCGTCCCACTCCCGCCCCCGGCCCACTCCTGACCCATATTGAGCCTGCAGGCCATTAGGCAAACCCTACAGACCCTTTTCACGTGAAATGTCTGGCCGGGTTTCCTCCCATTCTGTATCTACTCTTGCTCATTAGAACCCAAGAACGGTCCATGCGATGCCTGGCCCCGGGTTCTCTTTGTGGTCCTTCCCTGCCAACCAGAGCTGATCTTTCTTCTTTTCATTCAAGCCCAGCAACTTCAATGAAGCCTATGACAACCTGATTGCCTTCATCCAGCAGCCATCCAACTGGGACATCTTGTCCCAGGAGTTACGGGGAGTAGGTGTGAGTGAGGGGCCCTAGGACCCTGAGCCAGATTGGAGGGGGGAGGGGAGGAGACCAGGGTGTGCAATGGTCATCACTTCCTGGGGCAGGGGGTTGGGGAGCTAGGATCCATGCTGGCCATAGCTGTCCTCTTCCCCGTTCCCAATCTGCCATACAGGCGGCTTTAATAAGAAGGAGCCTGAGTCATGTTGGAATGACTGACTCACCACTGAACTGTTTTAAAGACCAAATGGTCCCTACTTAAGGCATTAGGAGGAGGGAATGGGGGGGGGAAGGGAGGGGAGGTCGGGCCTAGGAAGAGCCAGGTACCACTCCCTTCATCGTCACAAAGAAGTGAGGCTCGGGACCGAGGAGGCAGAGACGAGCGAGTCCAGTGGCTGTTCAGCTGTTCATCGTGCTGCTTCGTCTCTCCCCTCCAGCCCCTTCAAAAAACCTCTTCGCTTTCAGGAAAGGTTTGAGCTGCCACACAGGGCACCTGTAGATGCCCAGACATTATCTGGGGGGCAGCCCAGATCTGCCATCTGAGACGGTTCCCCTCAGTTGTGGATAGCCCTTCCTTGGAAACAGGAGTGGCCAATCTCAGCCTAACTCGGGCTGGAAGACTGCCTGCCGTTGACCCAATCTCCCGTGGGGCCAAGGACAGCTGAGCCTGGACTTAGTGCCTCACCAGCTAAACCTTCCCATCCCCCTCCTCCTGCTCTCATGTCCCACTGGGATAGAACACACACATGGTCTTCTAGCATAACTGACCCGCAGAGGCTCCCACGGAAGCCTGGCCCAAGGGGGAGAGGAGGAGATGCCTGAGGTGTAGCCCTGTGCCTTTGAGGCTCCCAGCCCCATGCTGGTGTACCCTGGTGCCAATCTGGCTAATGCCTGGGCTCCGCTTCTGGCCTTAGCTCCTGTTGAGGATGAGAAGATTTCAGGCAGAGGCTGGTTGAGCACCTTGTGCCTGGTTCCCCTGGAAAAGATGGAGCCATGACTTCTGTCCCAGGAATGGCAGATGCTGGCTGGGTGCCCAGGCTGAAGGCTGCCTCCCTCCCCTGGCCAGGTCCCACATCCCAACTTCTACCACACGCTGCTTGGCTTCATTGCCCCCGGGCTCTTTAAAGATGCCGAGCGCATCCCTGGGAGCTTGAGGAGCATCCTGAGGGATGATCAGATTGCCAGGCCTTTGAAGAAAGTGGTGAGTGCACTCCGAGTGGGGCCAGAGGCGTGGAGAGGGAGAAAACACCCACTTTCTCGTCCCCTTTCTTTCTATTGACTGCAGATTGATTGCCGGGGCAGGCAGATGTGTGTCCCTCTCCCTGACCCTCCCGGAGTCTGGGACAGCCCTCAGGCCCCGAATTAGCTTTTACTCTTTTGTCCCCCCACCCAGTTCTCACACCCAATTAGTCCAAGTCCTGATCTTTCTTTTTTCATTTTTTTAATTTTATTTTTCAGTGAACAGGCATTTATTTTTTCTCCCTCCCATCCCACTCCTAATTTAAAAGAGAAAAAGAAAAACAAAACCCTAATAACAAATATGCATAGTCAGGCAAAGCTGACTCCTACATTGGCCAGGCCCAAAATGTGTCCCTGCCTTCCCAGTATTTCTTCCTATCCATTCCTTCCTGCTTCTGATAGCGCCCCCAAGGCCAGGCCCTCAGAACAGCCCAGCTGGTGCAGTGGAACATAGAGGAGAGCGCGCTGGTCTGGGGTCACACGTCCTGGCTTGGATCCCCACATTCCCATGTCTGCCACGCACCACCCGTGGGACCTCAAGCATCATCTGTGCCCAAGATGGAGGGGGGGGAGTTGTCTGAGAGAATACTCCGACCTGCCTTTAATCCCGGGAATCCTTCGTCAGTCTCTCCTCCCAGCAGCCAGTCAAGCCACTGTTGTACACGGGAACCAGTACTAGCTCAGGGGCCCTGGGCCCTCTACTCAGATCCCACCCACGGGAGACCTCAGGCAACTTACTTTGCCTGCCTGGGCCTCAGTTTCCTCATCTGTCCAATGAAGAGGGTGGACCTAGTGGTTCCCGTGGTCCCTTGCTGCTCTGGGCCTGTGCACCTGTGATCTGGGGCGGAGCACCCGCCGGATTCTGCCTCCTGGAGGCAGCTTCCACCGCAGACGCCCACTTCACAGAGACTTCCAGGAGAATCCCCCACCCCAGCTCCCAGCACCCTCTTCTCTGCGGAATGCACTGCCCCCACTGCTCCATTCTCCACTCACGGAAATCCTGCACGTCCTTCAGTGTCCACGTCCACTCTGTTCCACAAGAATTCATTAATGCCTACTTTGTTTTAGGCACTACATTAGTCACTGGGGTTACAAAAGTAAAACTGAAAATAATCTCTGACCTCCAGGAACTGACATCTGTCTAGCAAACAAACTTCAGTTTCCTCCTGTGTCCTCGAGTAAAACTGGGCATCCAATTATCTGGACTGGCCTAGGGGATTTAAGTATTGATGCGCAGGCCGCTGGACACTCGGGTAACTACGGGGACCCTGAAAGTCCTGGAAATGGCCTCAACAGCTGTGGGTAAAGTGCCACTGAAGGGGACCTGGCCTAAAGGTTGAAGGCAGAGCTTCTTGCTCCACATTTGGGGGAGGGAGGGAAGAGAGGAGGGAAGGAGGAGAAACCAGACTGAATTAACTGGGCTGGGAAATCTTAGAGGGCTGCCTGACATAGGTTTCAAAAACCAAAAAAAAGTTTCCGGATTAGCCTGCCCACTCTTCCTGACAGCCTTGTGGCAAGGTCCTGGAAAGGTCCTCTTCTTCCTCCGGGGAGCCCTCCCTCCTGTCCCCGGCTAGCAGATGGCAGCCCACTCAGAACACAGGCCAGCTCCTAGGCTGTCCCTGGGTCTGGCCTTAGGCAAGGGCTACATGGAAATCGCTAATGATGCTAAATAATAATAATAATAATTATGTAAAACAAGAAAAATGTATCAATCAGGACGTTTGAGGTGTGGGTCAAATCCCTCTAACATCAACTGACAAAACACTTCTCTCTGTGACCCCAGCTTCCGTAGCCCCGCGCACAGTGACCTGGACGCTGGGGGATGCTGTTACTGTACCTTTCCCCAGGATTTGTTATCTCCATGGGGAGAGGAGGAGGAGAAAGGGACATTATGTATCTATACAAAATACAATGTTGCTCATCAAACATGACAGAAATGGCCCTTCAGCCCTCCCCAGCTGTCAGCTGGCTTCTGTTAGAGCCTGGTGGTTTGCTTCCCGGGGATCCTGTAATTCTGAGCCTCCTCTAGTCCAGGAGCCGCCCAGCTCCCACGATCGGGAAACACAGCTCTGGCTTTCTGTACTGGGGTCCCGTGGCCCAGGCTCTCAACTGTGGCTAAAGGCTGATTCTGAAACTCTCCCCACAGACCGTCCTGGTTCACTGCTGGGCCCAGACGAGAGAGAAGAGAGCCGCCATGGTGGTAAGAGCCGGGTAAATGATCCCCATCGGAGGGAGGAGAGGTGGGGCAGAACTGGGGGAGTTGTTGGCCCAGGACCCTAATGAAGGTCACATCCGTGAGCTCAGGGACCTGCTCCCACAGCTGCAGAATCATTGAATCTCTGACCTCCAGTCTTACTCAGGACATATTCCCCACCTGCCTGAGTGATTAAAGAAGGTGGAACTGCTGGTTAATGGCCAGGTGTTTGACTTAATTTAACTGGGTGGGGGGGGGGGGGGGGGGGGCGGGGAAGGGACAGGAAAAGAGACCTGGATTTGGGTGTGACCTTGGGTAACTCACTGGACCTCTCATGGCCTTAGTTTCCTCATTTGTAAAATGAAGGCTTGGGACTGGTGACCTCTTAAAGCACCTTCACGTTCTTAAACTCAAATGCTTCAGTCTCAGCTTTCCCTGCAGTGTGTGATTCCCTTCCTTTCTCCTCCCTTGCCTGGCACAGACTGAGGTATGGGGAGAAGAGGTGGGGGAGGGCTCCTGTTCAAAGATAAGACTAACTCCTGTGGGACCCTGGGCCAGTCAGTTCTCTCCTTATCTGTAGAATGAGGAGGGCAGACTACTTGCTTTCCTCTCACGTTCTATGAGGCTGCAATGCTAAGATGTTTTTCCTTTCAGGGGAAATAGCTCCTTCCAGATTATCCCAGGAATAACCCCACTATCTAAAGCTGCTGGGCTGCTCCCTAGACCACACTCCCTAGCTGCTTGGGCTGGGCTGGGCTGGGCTGAACAACTAGAAGTCGGGAGCTTCACCTCTCTGGGGCTGGGGACAGAGATTCCAGGAAAGTTTTAGCTAGCTGGGACCATGTTCTTTCTGGCATCAAAGTTAGACAGTCTAAGGACCCCCAATGCGGCCATGAGGAATTGAGCACCATGGACAAGGTCAGCTTAGGGCTGTCTGGGTTGGGCGAGGTCACCACAAAACTAGGCAGAGATAAGTTGCCTCGGCCAAGGCTATGCCGTGACTGGGCTTTTGACTCTGTGGTCAGAGCGTCCAGGGAGGCCTTGGCAGTTGTCACTCCAAGAGCCACCCTCTGCCGCCTTCTGAGCTCCTGGACTTAGAGGCCCCTCTGTGATCTCCGTCTGCTTTTCGTGGTCCCTTCCAGGGGCACCTTTGAACTGATGGGAGAGCTTGGGACGGACCCAAGCCTTTTCTTTATCATGGCACCCATCACCAGGGTTGGCAGGAGCACCCGTCACAGGGACCCTTAGCATCAGATCAGAACATCAGAAATGGAAGGAAGCAGAGAGGTGATCTTATCCAGCCCCCTCATTTTACAGAAGAAGAGGTGAAAACCCAGAGAGGTCAAACCTCGTGCTTGTGCTAACGCAGGCAATCAGGGGCCAAATCAGGTCTTGAACCCAGGTTGTCCGGCTCTCAGCAAAGAGCCCTTTGTCACTGTACCACAAGGGAAACCACCAATCATGTCCTCACAGATGTCAGGAGCCTGTGGACGGAAGGGAAGAGTCCAAGCCACTCCTGGAATGCGTCCCCCTTCCCCAGACCGAATGGCTGCTTTCTCCTACTGCAGGAACCCAATGGTTTTCTCTACCACTTGTACGAAGTGTTGGACTGCATTTCTCCTGAGCTTATGTGGGCAGCCGTCGGGCCGGAGGGCAAGCAGAAGAGGTTTTATTATGTTCTGAAGGTAGGTAGCCTGGCTGGCTTGAGCTGCGAAGCCCAGAGGCGGCCTCCGTGGGGGTTGCCAGTGTCTTCCCTCAGCCTCCCCGAGGCCTGGCTGGTGAAGAGAGGGCAGAGAGGGATGTGAAAAACGGATGCTTTCCAACAGCCTTTCCTTGGCTGGCTTGTAGCAGCACCCCAAGCACTTGGCACAGCGCCCAGCACAGAATGAGCCCTTGATAAATGCCTGTTACAGCCTTGTTAACCTGAGGGGCCCTTCTTGGACAGATTTCCCCACTGGAGTGTTTTACTTCAAAGAACAAACCTAAATTTGTGTCTATACAACTTCCAACCATTGCTCCTAGTGGTGTGCTCTGGGGACAAACAGAACTGGCCTAACCCTCCCATCCTCCAGTTGTCATCTCCCTCAGGTGAGACACCCCTAGGCCCTTCAGCTGACGTGACCTGATCTTTTGGCATTTCACCGTCCCGGTCATCCTTCTCTGGATGGTCTCCAACCTGCCCGTGGCAAACAGGCCGGGCAGAATTGAACACAATGTTCTTGGCTGAGGACCTTACCTGATAGTTCATTGAAGAGATGGAGGCCAACCCCTAGAGCTCCCTCTCCTCCTCCTTCATCTCACTAATTAAGTGCCCGCTTTGTGCTGGGGGCTGTGCTGGCACGAAGGATATAAAGATGAAACAAAAAATGGTGCCTGCTCTTAAGGAGTGTACAATTTACTGGAGGGTGGATGTAAATAAATACACTTATGTTGTGGCTGTTCAGTCATTATCAGTCACGTTCGACTCTCTATGACTCCATTTGGGGTTTTCTTGGCAAAGATACTGGCGTGGTTTGCCACTTCCTTCTTTAGCTCATTTTACAGGTGAGGACACTGAGGCAAGCAGGGTTGTGGCCTGTCCAGGGTCACACAGCTAGTAAGCCTCTGAGGCCAGATTTGAACTCATGAAGATGAGTCTTTCTGATTCCAGGCGTGGCGCTCTTTCCACTGTACTATCTAGTGCCCAAATATACATATACATGCACACATCTACATGTACAACAATTATATACACGTATGTGTGTATGTGTATATGTTATAACTTGAGGAGGAGGGAGAAATCACTAAATGGGGAAGGGGGAATCCCAGAGGAAGTGGTCCCTGAGCTGAGCCTTGAAGGATGTATTCAGACTGGCTGAAGGAATTAAGGACACTTAGCCTGTAGAAAAGAAGGTCAAGGGATCATGGGAGTTGTCTCTAAGTAATTGAAGGGTTGTCTTGTAGAAGAGAGATCAGACTTGTTCTCCTGGCCTCGGAGGACAGAACTAGGAACAATGAGTGCAAGTTTCTGAGACCCAAATTTAGTTTTTACGAAAGGAAAAACTTTGGGCATTTGGGGTGATGCCCAAGAAGAAAGGGCTGCCTCCCATTGGCGATCTTCAGACGGAGGGTGGCGTCCCTGCTGGCGACGCTGGGGAGCGCATCCTCGCTGGTCTCAGCTCCCGAGGACTCCGAGATGCCGTCAGCCTGGGGCCTTCCTGCGCTCTGACAAAGCGTCTCCATGGCCTCCTTCCTCATGGCGCCCCCCCCCCCCCGCCCGGCAGATAGGGGAGGAGGCCATCATCCAAAGCCCTGGGGCATGTGCCCTTGTCCCCCGGGCTAGCTCCCATCTTGTCATTGCAGGAGCAAGTGTCCTCCTTCTCCAAAGCCTTGCTGACCCTGGCAGAGGCCTGCTACCCGATGACTGAGCTGCTGGCCCAGCACGTGTTTGAAGATCTCATGGAGAGATGTGAAGCTCTGCTGGCTCACTGCTGAACCTGGGCTTGGGGGAGAGGGGATGGGGTGGGCGAGGGGGGACAGAAGGGGCTGGATCTGGAGAATGCCCTAAAAGTGCAAGGCTGGCCCATGTTCAGACTAAAGAATTCTATGAAGGTGTGGAGTCTTGTGTTTTCTGTTTGGCTTTGGAGGCAGGAGAGCATGGCACAAAGCCCTGTATAGATACACAGGAGCCCCAAGACTGCTCAGGGTGGAGGGCGACTGGTCAGGGAAGAAGGTCCCAGATAGGAGAAGGAAATCCTCCTCATTGTCTTGGCTTCTGACAAAGGGATTCTTGCCAAAAGCTCTGGAGCTCACCTCCAGAGAGGCCGAGCATCACGGCCCAGAGTGTGTTGGCCTTGGAGCCAGTTGGAAGTTCCATCACTGGCTCTGAGTCTCATTTTCCTCCTCTTTAAAATGGGTATAACAAGGATCAAATCACATAATGACTATAAAGCTCTTCACAAAACTTAGAAAAGTACGTGATGCTCTGATCTCCTGAATGAAGGTGTCCCTCCAGAGGACTATGTGCATGTCAGATATCACCGAGGAGAGTTATTATAATGTATTCATAGTCATTCCCCCACAGGATGGTGAGGAGAGTACTGTGTAAACCTGGACGCACTCTACATGGAAAAGTGATAGTAGTTCCACGGCCACATCACATCCTTCAAAGGCCAGCCTCCGCTCTCCGGGGCCTGAGCCGAAGCAGCCCACACGCCCACTCAGCCTTAGCAAACACAAAAGCAACTGTATGACGGAGGCACTTTCTGAAAAAATAGACAGGGAGCCACTCTGCCCTCTGAGAATCAGGTCAGTGGATACTCTGAAGAGCCCTCCCAAGTCTGCTGCCCAAAGGGGAAAGAGTGCTGGACTCAGAGTCATTGGCTCATGGGACTGGGGCTGGAAAGGACCCCAGGTCTCACTTTATAGCTGAGGAAACTGAGGGGAAATGAATTGCCCAAGGTCACATAGGTAAGGGAAAGAGGCAGCATTTGAATCCAGGCCCTCTGATTCCAAATCCCTCTTTCTGCGACTCGAAGTGATTGATCTTGGGATAGGATGGTTCACTCCACTTACTTAGGAATAGCCCAGCTGCCCTTTCAAACCAGAAGATGTTAAGGGGATGTCTGACCTGGTCCTGGGGGCATGGGAAGGTCATTCCCCTTTCCAAGTCTCAGTTTCCTTGTCTGATGAAAATAGATGGACATATCTGATAAAAACACATCATTTGGAAAGACTGAAGTCCCCACTGGGGTCACTGGGCCAATGGTAGGGCAGCCCGTGTGTCACTTTTACTGGGGCTATTCAAGGACAAGGGAGAAATGGGCCCCTTTAACCCCAAAGGGTCCGGCCTGTCACTGCTTCCTGCCCTCCTCACCCAGAGCCTTCACCTCCATGGCTTTGCAGCCCAGGCCTCCCCACCACCCACCCAGAGCATTGGGCCATCCAGGCAGAGACAAGGTGCTCCTCCAGCCACCATCCTCACAGGCATTGAGTGAAACTTCCTCAGGGAGTATAATTTTAAGTTCCTCTACTGGGCACATGTCATGCAGGTAAGATTTCTGAAATGAATTTGGAAAGTCATAGACTGAAGCAGCATTCTCCATGAAAAGGAAAAGCCCTTATGACCAAACCACCTATCATGGAAAAATTTTTGGAGGAAACAGCTTTACAAGTTCTCAGGACAAACTGCATGGAAAGCCTGAAGAACTCGAAGCAGTGACCAGCCATGATTCTAGAGGACCAGTAACGATGTTGCCCACCTCTTGTAGAGAAGAGATGGATTAATATGCAGAACAAGACACGTGTGTTTGGGCATTGCCAACATGGAAATTTGTTTTGCTTTATTATCCATGTTTGTACTTGTTAATTGAGAAAACGAGTGACTAAATGAAGAGATAAAGGCAAGGTGGAGACAGTCCCTTTGGGTCCAGAGACAGCCTACTGGCCAGGCACAAGATGAGGCTCTGATCTCCTCTTGCTTGGGTGATTCCCTGCTGAGAAGTCCATGAGGACCTGGTAATGGATGCTCAGGTCAAGTGGGACGTGCCAAAGGGGTGACCACCCAGATGGGCACACACAGAGGGTAGCCAGGGGATAGAGTACTGGCCTCAGAATCAGAAAGATTTGAATTCAAATCCTGTCCCAGACACTTAGGCAAGTCACTTAAGTTCTAGGGATTAAAGTAGCACTTACCTCACCAGGTCGTTTTGAAGATAAAAGGAGTTACTATTTGTAAAGCATTTTGCAAACTGTAAAGCTCTATTTCCGTGCCAGCTATTATTGTTGTTATTACTGATGGGGGGAGGAAAAAAGGAAGTGGTAACAATGTGAGGTCCTGGCCTGCTCTCAGTGCTAGCCCCACCTCATCACCAGGCCTGACCCTAACCTGGTGATTATAGCATAGGCGATGTCTCCCTCTGCTTCCTTTGAAATAATCATGGCCAAAAAAAATAATGAAAATGTAGGAATCTTTTAATTTTATCAAATACAAGAAAAACAGAGAAGAAAACTGTAAGAAACCAGTCTACGTTCTAAACCCAGCTGCATGGTTCCTAGGCTTGCTGCTGCTGCCCCCTCTCAGGTCCCTACTAATAGTTTGTGCAGTGAGGGGTGGGGAAGTGGGAAGGCCACACAGCCAGGCATCAGCCCGGAGTTCTAAACGGAGCCATAGGGTCATCGGGTGATTCAATTAAACGTGGCATTTTGGGTGAACCGCTGAACCCCTTCATGACATGACTTACCATGAGCTCGTGCCAATTGACCCAAGGGGCTCAGTGACCAGAAGTCCTGGGCAAATAGGCAGCTGTCCAGTGTGTGACACTCAGGATGGGGCAAGAGGGACCTTCTAATAGTATTTCTATAAAGGCACATAATTTCAGTGCCAGAAAATTCCATTTTTATTTTGTGATCATTCAGATTTCATGTGCTACAGAGAAGGTACAAATTCCCTGGTGGGAACTGAGAGGGAGGGTCACAATTTCTACACTTTGCTGAGAAACAAAGGCCTCTGTAGAGAAGGCGCTTGTCAAATGGGGGCTGTATCATTGTATGTCCTATGGCTTGACACCGCAAGTGTGGCATCGTAAGCTGCTTGGCCTGGTAATGTGTCCAGAGAGGTTCTTGCTAAAAGGAGGATTGCTCAGGTGTAGACACACAGCACAGAAGTCCCCTCTGACCCCCAGAGGAGACGAAGGCCTTCCCTCTGCTGCAATGAGAGAATGTCCCTCCTGATCCCGGAGCTGGAGGCGGGGGCTGACTCATATGGCCACACTGTTGGGGATCCGGTCCGGGGACAGGTAGTAATAAGGCAGCTTCTTATTCTTGTTCCGCTCAGTGATCCCACTGACAATGACATCGAGGTTCTTACGGAACTTGACCATGGCTTCCTTGACTGGCTTCTCGATGAAATGCTCCTCTGGGTACATGCCCAAGAACAGCTGATGGGCCAAGACACACATGCACAGGTCAGGCGTTGCCTTCCGAGCCTCTCTGCCCACCCCTCCCCACCCAGGCAAGCCCACCCGCTGCCTCCTTTCCAGACCAGTCACACCTTTCTCTGAGTTCTCCACAGGTACGACTGTCTAGAACAAGGCGATAATTCAGACATTCATTTAGGGCCCACCGTGTGCCTGGCATGGTGCTCACCACTGAGGACCCAAAGATGAAAAATGAAAGGGTGCCTTTGGGTCCCAGGCAAGTCATCTTTGGGCTTCAGTTCCTCAAAATGAGGAACATGGTGGGACCGTAAAGCTCCATATCTATGATGCTATGAATCCCTTGCCCTCGAGGAATTTACATTCCAGTGGAAATAAAATGTAAGTTACAGTGGAGAGAGAACTGAATTTAGATCCGGAAGACCTAGTTTGGCCCCTGCGTAGGCTGTGTGACCTTGGGCAAGTCTCTGAACCGCACCCTCCCTTAACCTCGGGCACCCCACCTTAACCATGGGCACCTTGAGATCACATAATCAGAAGGGACTTCAGTGGCCATTGAATTGAACCAATTCCTGAAAAGGAACTCCACTGCAATTCATCCTCCAAGTGGTCACCAAGCACCTTCTTGTGATGGGGAACTCATCACCTCCCAAGGAAGCTCATTCCTCTTTTGGGTCATCTCGGCTTCTCCAGGTGTAAAATGGAAGGGATGATGCCTCACAAGATAGATGGCTGAGAGGATTGATGAGCTAATGGACATGAAGGGTTTTGTATGGGCATAAATTATGCTAGGTGAGGCAGTGGTTAGAACACCCAGGCCTGGAGTCAGAAAGACTCCTCTTAGACTCCTCTTAATGAGTTCAAATCCGGCCTCAGACACTTATTAGCTGTGTGATCCTGGGCAAGTCACTTCACCCTGTTTGCCTCAGTTTCCTTATTTGTAAAATGAGCTGAAGAAGGAAGTGGCAAACCACTCTAGTATCTGCCAAGAAAACCCCAGATGGGGTCACGAAAAGTCAGACACGACTGAAATGACGGAACAACAAAAAAAGTCCAATAACGCTCTGGGTCTAGAAGCAAGAAGACCCGAGTGTGAATCCTGTCGCCTCCGACACTTCCTATCTGGGGGACCCTGGGCAAGTCATCTAGCCTCAGTTTCCTCACATGTAAAATTAGGATCATAACAGCACCTCCCTCGTAGGGCAGTTGTGAGGATCAGATGAGACAATATTTGTAAGGCACTTTGCGAACACTAAAATGCAATATAACAATTTCTCTCACGTCGACTGCCTGACTCTTCCCAAATGCTATGTTTGCTTTTGTCCAAACTGGTGGCTCAATGGCAGCAGGGGAGCTTGGTACACTGCCTAGAGCAGAGGCCTTTGATGTGAGGCCTGCCATGCCCCAGTGTAGCCTGAACCAGATTAAAATGGGATTGAAAAGTGTTTAACAAGATAACAAGGTAAGAGCAGAACACAGACGATGTTAATGGGAGGTTCTTCTTTTAGCAGCCCCATTTCTGTTTGGGTTTGATACCACTGGTGCCTGGGGCACATGGCCAGCATGTGTCAGGCCTTCCTCTACCCTCTCCACTGTGCCATGTGCCGCCTCTCCCCAAATAGATAAAGAAGAGCAACAATCTTAGACCTACCTCATTTTCCTGGAACTGGCTCAGGGCCCAGACGGCTCCCAGATGCCAGCAGGAGCGTCCCCGATCTGGCAGAGTTTCTACTATCTGCTCAATGGTGACCACGCCTTTTTCTGTTGGGGGAGGTGCCCGCATGGTTGGTGGAGCATTAGGAATCCAGGAGCACCAGTCATACTGTTCACCGAGAGACAGACAGACAGGAGGACATGAAGGCACTCAGAGGTTGTCATTCACGTGTTTTCTTTCCATCCTCATTTGAGTGATTCCCACCTTCTAATTCAATATGAGGTTTTGGTTAAGTACCTACCGTGCAAGCAAATCACTCAGGGGACTGAGGTGCAAAGACAAAACAGGAAATGAGGTAAGCATGACCACGATCATCCGAGGAGGACAGTGCCCAGGGATGTCTCCTTTGGGGTCAGAGGGGAAGTGATGGTCGAGGTAATGGTGATAATTTGACTTGCCTGGTAAATGCCATCTCCTGTCTCTCCCTTGCTATGCCTTGCTGCTTCAGCTAGGCTGGCTCATAGGTGGCAGTGGGTTGGCAGTTAGTAGAGAGGGCTGGCCCCTTCTCCACAGGGCTTGATCCCCCAGATATTGGCTTTGTGAGGTGGGTTGGAAGTAGGAGCACTGGTCTGGAGGTACTGCTGTTCCCAATGAGTGAACAATAGATGATAGAGAGGGCAGAATTCTATTTTGTGGGGTTTTTTTCCTACTAAGGAGATCAATTATCAGACTGGCAAGGATAAACCAAAAATGGTCAATAGAGAATTGACTCCTAAGATAAATGAGGAGAGTGTCCAGTGATTTCAGAGCACTAGCATCCCAGGATAGTGAAAGCATTGGGCAGTCTGATGGTTGAGCTGCTATTGTTGATCTGTGAAAAAAAAATCCTACAGAATAGGAGCAGAGCAAGGGGATGCTGGAGACAGGGCATCCCTGGATTTCAGCTTGGCATTTGCCAAAGTCTCTCCCGAGGGACAAGATGGAGATATATGAACTAAATGAGGGAATGGAAGAGGTGCCAATGGACCCGAGAATGCAAATGTCCAACTTTCAGAAAAGACGATGAATGAATGAAAACTTATGAGCACTTTCTGTGTGAAAAAAGAAGATGGTGAAGTCTACATACTAAACTAGTTTGATGCACCTGACAAATTCCTGGCAAAATTCTAAAATGTGCCTTAAAATGGGAGACGGCAATGAGAGCCAGCACAGGTTTATTGTGAGCAGGCTGATCCAGACTGACCACCTTTCCGTTATTGACGGGAGGGGCTGTGACATGTAGACAGATCAGTATTTACATAAACATTTCAGGAGGCACTGCAGAGTACTAAAATTACTTCTAAAGGTTCAGAGAAGTGATTGGTTTGGCCTTATGGCCAGATGCTCGAGAAGGATGGGAGACTCTTAAAAATGAGTCATTCTGATAACATAGTAGTGAATGTGATCTTGAGAGGGAAGATACTGGGTAGGGATCTAAAACACTTGACTGATATGGCTGCATAGTGAGCTCTCTGATAAGTACAGGCATACACAAGTTGAGAGGTGGGAGCCATGGGCAAATACAAAACAATTGCATGAATGCCGCTGTTACGAAAAAATGTCAGGAAGGCTAAAGCTCAGAATTTGCTGAAACTTGTGAAAATACTAAAGACAATAAAGAGCTTTTTAAAGATAGGTTTGGGATAAGAAGAAAAACAAGGAAGGGGTAGGTCTGTTTCTTGCAGCAGATGGTCTGGTATACCCAAAAGATCAAGAGAAAGCAGGACTATGTTTGTACTCCAGTTTCTACTTCTGCCTTCTATTCAATAATGATTTTCTAATTGGAAAAGGTAGAACAAAGTGGGTCAAGAATGAAACTCTAATAAAAAAAGTCTCTGGATAAAATATCTCTGATAAAAGTCTAATATAAAAAAATAAAGGGAACTGACAAAAATGTATAAGACCAAGAGCCATTCCCCAGTGCAGAAGTATTCAAAGGGCATGAGCAGTTTTCAAAAGAATTGTGAACTATTAACAACCGTATGAAAAAATGTTCCAAATCACAAATAAGAGAACTGAAAACTAAAATTACTCTGAGGTTTCATCTCTCACCCATTAAATTGGCAAAGATGATAAAAGATGTAAATTGTCAATGTTGGAGGGGCTGTGGGAAGACAGATGTACTAACACATTGTTCATGGAGTTGTGACGTAGCAAGTGCTTCTTCTTCTTCTTCTTGTTATTATACGGTGATTGACCATCTGGCTGAATTGGCCCAATCTTCTTCTGGAAAACAAGTGACTAAACTCCTTGAAAATTCTCTTTGACCCAGCAACGCCCTTAAAAGTCATGTACCCCAAAGAGGACAAGGACTGCGAGAAAGGCCTCTTACAGTAGTGCTTTCTGCGGTAGCAAAACACTGGAATCAAAGTGGCTGCCTATCAACTAGAAATGGCTGAATAAATTGTGACACATGAATTTAACAGGATATTATTGAACTATTCGACACTACAAAGATGAGGAATGCAAAGAAATATGTGAAGACTTGCACGAAATGATGTGGGGTGAAGAAAGCAGAACCACAGTGGCTACAATAATGTAAATGAAAGCAACGTTGATTAATTGCAAATAACATCTGCTCTGGGAAGAAGGGAGGATGTAATCCATTTGCTTTTTCTTGGCAGGGATGGGATGCGATGGTTGTGTAACTGTCAGAATTGGCTCCATTGGCCCTTGATTATGAGTAACCGGTTTGTTGACGAGGAAGGGCTCACTGGGTGGGGATGGGCTGGGAAAGTATCAGATAGGGAAACTGCAGCCCAGGAAAATGAAGGGATTTGCCTAAAGTCATGCAGGTAATTAGCAGCAGAACCAAAAGTAGAATCCAGGACCTCTTGACTTCCAGGGCACTGTTATTTCCACTGGAACCTGATCACTATAAGCACATATTTGAAAGGTTCTTACGGGGAAAAAGGGAATAGAACTGGGACCAATGGGAAGTCTCAAGATAAGGAAGAAATTCCTCAGCAATCCCAAAGTGGCCTGGGCTGCCACAGAGGTAGTGAATTCAATAGATATCTATAACTGGAGGTGGGATGACAGTGAGGATACAGTCAAGGGGAGCACAGCATTGGGTAGAAACTACGTGATCTCTGAGGTCTGCAGACTGTAGATCTGGAGTTGGAAGGACCTCAGTTGTTAACAAGTTCAACGCCGTCATTTTACAGACAAGAAAACTGAGGTCCCAGGAGCTTTAAGCGTTTGCCCAAAGTCACACAAGTAGCAGATTTCAGAGCCATCCATGAAGTCCGTGATTGACAAGTTTATGACTGTTACTGACCTGTTCTAAAGCTTGTCTGTCCTTTGCACCAAATCGCTTCCTCCTCCCACTTTTGAGTTACCTAACTCCAGCCCTTGCAGCAGCTGCTGCTATTGGTCTTAGCCAGGCAGAATTCACTGAATGGAGCCTCCAGCAAGTCTACTTGACCAGTTATGGTGGAAGAGCCATTACGAAGCTTCACTAGTTCACGCTTCACATAGCAAATGGACCGTGTCGAATAAATGAATGAACAAAAAAGAATTTTTCAAGTGCCTACTATGTTCCAGGCACTGTGCTGTCTTGGGGGTGCAAAAATTCCTGCCCTCAAGGAGTTTACATTCAAATAGGAGAAGTCAACATATGGAGGGGAGGGAGAGATGTCCAAGAAGGGGCATTTTGGTCTGGAAAATTATACAGATGGTGAGTGCAGCTGTTGGGCAACTGATTGACTTATCCTTGCCAGGAATGGTAGTGTTGCTCTGATCCCTGTCCAGACCTAAAGGTGGGAAGCAAAGGAGGATGGGGTCTAGATGGGAGCTATCTGTGGAGATCCCTCCCCAGTCTCCCAGACCCTAGGGTGAGAGTGAGAGTCTGAGGGTCTGAGGCCGGAAGCTGGAGTAAGGAGGCAGAAGATGAAGACAACGGGAGAGCAGCATGGTGGGCCTAAGCAGCCACAGGGTGAACTGCAGGTCCAGCCCTTTCTTGGTAGCTTGGTACTCAGTGCTCAAAAAAGTAATTCTTTCCAAATTCTGGATGGCTTTGGGGTCACCAGCGTGACCTTCACTGGAGTTTGGCTTGGGATGGACTTAGGGAATCTTCTCTGTTCCACAAATGACTCTGGGCAAGCACCTTTTTCAATGGTCAGCTCAAGAAACTGGAGTACCTCCCCAGACAGTTGTTAGTTATCTGACAACCCTCTGGGATCACAGGCTCACAGCTGATCTGGATTCATTATTGTTCCAGGAAGCCTTCGTTCCTGGGAGTCAGATCCTAGATGGTGTCTGCTTCCCTTTTCTCTTTCAGTCTAGACTCAAATGGCTCATGGCAGCTCCAGTGAAGAGAAAGCAGTCACTAAGCCCTCCCAAAGATCCAAATGTTTGGTGTAAATTCATTTGTGGATTTTGTTATGTCCAGGAACGGTAGAATGTAAGCTCCTTGAGGGTAGGCCCTGCCTCACTTTTGTATTCGCATCTCTAGTGCACAGCACATAGTAGGTGTTTAATAAATGTTTATTAATGGACTGAATGATGTCTAGCCTTTGGTGTTCTCTGTACCCAGCATGCACCTTGTGCACTGTTTGATACACAAGACTTTACCAGGAACACACAAAATATGAGAGAACAGATTCACATAAAGAAGGTCACCCAAGAACACAGAACCCCAGAACTGTCCTGCTGTGCTGCCGAGAGGCTTTGCCTGGCTCATTTAATCTCTTCTTTCCAACACACTCTGCTCTTAGAGATGAGTGTAAGGACGAGTTTAGAGATAGTGCCTGAGGCCTGAAGTCTCTCTGATGTTCCAGGCTGCTCACGAGTAGCCTCACAGCAGAGGCATGTTGGCTGTCCTCTTGTCAAGGTCATAGGCAGCACGTAGTCCAATAGCCTCATCTCCTTGACTGTGATAAAAGCCCTTATGTCTACTTTTATACCTTTACTTATGTTATTTCCCTTTCAGTTATGCCTTCTCTGATCCTTTCTGCCTCCTTAAAGTTGTTAATGTTCTCATAAAACGCATCTTAACATCCAGTTCCTCCACGAAGCCTTCCCTGATGACTCCGTGCCATATTGATTTCCATCAATGAGTCTACACGCACAGGTTCACACATATTGGGGCACTGGGACTTCATTAGTGTGGTTACTCCCCCCTGGTGATACATGTCATGCCTTTTTAGGTACATATTGTCGTGTTCTGTTTTCAAGTTGTTTGGCATGTGTAAGCCTTCTCCTCCCTAAATGACTTGGAGATAAGGACTGAATCATGAACACATGAGCACAATCCCCCCAAAGCACCACCCCAATGCTGAGTGTGTGGTGAGCTTCCCACCTTGCCAACATGCCCCCCATGCCCACCCCAGGGGCACTTCTCCACACTCCATCTTCTGCTACATAAGCCACTGTGGCCTCCAGTCGACTCAGCTCCTTCCCCCTCCATGTGCCTCTTAGGTGAGTATTCTATACCTGGCCAAAATTCACTGCAGCATGCTGAGCAGAAGCGGTAAAGATCACCACCGTCAGATACTCTGCTAGTTTTTCCCTGGTCTTGATGGACTTGGGGAATCCTGCAGAGAGAAGATAAAGGCGGCTGGTGAGCATTGAGCTCTGGATCGTTTTCCCAGTTCCATCAACGAAGGGAGCCAAGACCTACAACTGGAGCAGTCGTGTGCCCCACTGAAGACAAAGGGCATCTTGACAAAATCTCATCTTACCAATAGGCAGAGGCAGGAACGGGCAGATACTGTACCAGTCAATACTGGGACCACTGGGCAATCACAGGGAAGTGACTTTCAGCTTATGATAAGGAAGAAAGTCCTCAGCTTTCCAGAAGTGGTCTGGGCCACCTCAGGAAGTGGTGGATGGGTGTCTATAACCAAACAAAATGGGCTAAGGCATGAGCATACCTGAAATCTGGTCTGAGCCACAGAACTTCTTGTTTCTTTGACTCTGCCCCCTCCCCCACTATAGTCTGGGTCCCTCATAGGAAGGGAGGGTTCAAGGATCTAATGAGTCTTAGCTTATCTGAATTAGTGGCATGGGATTTGTGGTGCCCCAAGGAGGTGGTTGAGCTGAAGAGTAGGTTCAAGCTTTTATTTCTGATTTAGGCACCTAGTGTCTGAATATGTACGAGGTCCTGGAATATACCAGGTGACTCAGGTCTGGCTGTTCATTCCTGCCAGGTATATACCAACTAGGCTTAGAGGTTGAGTCAGTTCTGGGAACTTCCCTCCGCTACTCTGAGGACATGAGTTTAGACCGAAAGCGAGGTCCCAGGGGTCTGGCCCGGCCTTGCCTGACATTTGTGTCTGGGACCAGCCAGAGTTAGGCCATATTTGGTATTCAAGTGCTGTCTGAGGGGGCCACAAAAAAGTCTCAAACAGAATTGGCTCTTATACTCTTCCCTGAATCAAACCAGCACCCAGGGACATCTGGGGTGAGGCTAGAACTGGGTCTTTTGGAGTTATTCCAGATAAAACTATTGGGACTGTTATGGTCCTCCAGCTTGACCTGGCTGCTATGGACCAGGCTATGGGAGGTGGGGAAAGGGGGATAGGATTTTAGGTAGAGTGTTCATTTTGCAGATATCTGCATGATAGTACAGACCAGTCCTCATCATCAAAGATACAAGTGACATACAAGTGATTGATACCTGGGGCATTGATTGCACTCTTCAGAAAAGTCTCCTGGGGACAAGTTTGCATGGGGTACAAAGAAGCTGTAATATTAGAGCTGACTCAGCTTTGGTCTCACCTCTCAGGAACATGGACACTGCTGCTGTAGAGATGGACGGGTAAAGAAGCAACAAGAGTGGAGGAGAAGCCGCTTCTATCTCTGAGCCTGAAGAGGCTTTGGTCTCTAGCAGCCGAGGGTGGGGGAGGGAGGGAGGGAGGGATCCATGGGAGCACGACAGTGGGAAGGGGGAAGATTTGAGAGGGATGGCTACAGGGACGGGAGACTGAGAAAAGACAGAGCCCTCCTACCTGAAGCCTTCTTGCCCCTCATCCCGTAGACATAAACGTCATTCACAAAGTCCTGGAGCTCCATGTCCTCCATCACCACCTCATCACTCTCGTAGTAGATCTCCACTATTTCCATTGTGAAACTGAAGAGAAAGGGAGAAGCCCTCATGTCCTATGCATAACACTCATGTATCCACATGATGTTAGATTGGGACAGAACCTTGAACTCAAGAGCGGTCATGTTCCACTCTTATTTTGGGTTGCTGCACACAACTTCAGTGGCCCTCGGTCAACAGTAAGGGAGGTGGCTGGGTATGGGGGACAGAGCACCTGGGTTCAAATTCTGCCAATGGGACCCTTCGGCACCTCACTTAACCTCCAGTGTCCTCATCTATAAAATGAGGTGGCTGGACTAGAAGACCTTCGAGGTCCCTTCCAGCGTAGATCTCCGATCTTTGATCAGTGGGTGCTCTTTCCCTTTCCTCTGCTAAGATGGGGAAGAATTACCAAGGAGGAAACCAAGTAGGTCTCCAGGGTTGCACAAGGCCAGCCTTCTCACCTCCATATGGCTTCCCAGACCTTGAGACCGTCATCCCGGTAGAAGTAATATGGAATATCTTCTTTGCTGTCCATGCCTCTGGCCTTGACGTGCTCAGGGAAGAGCAGGGATTGGTAAGTCAGATCCTTCATGGCCCTCTGAACCATCTGCACATGTCCTCCACCCCCAGTGGCATTGGCCTTCAACAGGAGAAATACTCGTCACTCCCATTTGTGTAAGGCTCTAAGGTTTGCAAAGCACTTTACAGACATGGCATTTGATCCTTGCAACAATCCCGTGAGATAAGTGCTATTACTATCCCCATTTCATAAGAGAGGAAACTGAGGCACACACACATTAAGAGACTTGTCTAGGGTCACACAGCTAGTAAGTATCTGAGGTGGGATATGAACCCAGGTCTTGGTGATTTCAAGTTCAACATTCTGTCTATTAGACTACACTGCCATAAGACTCATACTATCACAGGACCATATATTTAGAGCTAGAAGCACCTTAAAGTTCATCTGTTTTCACTCCCTCACATAAGAGATGAGAAAGTAAGACCTTGAGAGTATACGTAACTTGCCCACGGTCACACAGGTAGTAAGTGGCAGAATCAAGATTTGAACCCGGGTCTTTTGACTCCATCTCCAGCCCTCTTTTGACTGTACATGAGTACTGGTGCACAAAAAGTGCCTTCCTGACTTCCCTGAGGATTCCATTCTCATCTTCCATTAAAGAGGCTGACTAGCATTAGGAATAAATGGAGCTTACCTTAAAATCATAAGTACTATTATCTAAAACCATCAGCAAGCATTATCTGTAATGGGGTTAAGCTAGGAGCCTTCCCAATAATATCAAGGGTGAAGCAAAGATGTCCATTCTCACCTTTATTATTTAATACTGTGCTAGTAATGTTAGGTATAGCAATAAGAGAAGAAAAAGAAATTATAGGAATTAGAACAGGCAACAAGGAAACAAAACTATCACTCTTTGAAGATGATATGATGTTATACTTAGGAAATCCTAGAGAATTGACTAAAAACTACTTGAAATTATTAATAACTTTAGCAAAGTTACAGGATACAAAATAAACCCACAGAAATCATCAGCATTTCTATATATTGCCAACAAAATCCAGCAGCAAGAGATAGAAAGAGAAATTCCTTATAACTATAGACAATATCAAATACTTGGGAGTCTGCTTGCCATAACAACCCAGGAACTGTATGAACACAACTATAAAGCACTTTTCATACCAATAAAGTCAGAGCTAAACAACTGGAAAAATATTAATTGCTCATGGGTAGGCCAAGCCAATCAATATAATAAAAATGACAGCTCTACCTAAATTAATCTATTTATTCAATGTCATACCAATCAAATGTCAAAAAATTATTTTATAGAGCTAGGAAAAAATAATAATAAAGTTCATCTGAAAGGACAAAAGCTCAAGGATATCAAGGGAATCAATGAAAAATGATCAATCAATCAATCAATTAAAAAAAAGCAAAAGAAGGTGGTCTAGCCATACTAGCTCTCAAACTATATTATAAATCTGTAATTATCAAAACAATCTAGTACTGGCTAAGAAATAGAATAGTAGATCAGTGGAATAGAAGAGGTATAAATTACATTACAGTAAATGACCATAGTAATCCAGTAAATGATAAACTCAAAGATCCAAGCTTTTGGAACAAAAACTCATTAGTTGATAAAAACTGCTGGGAAAACTGGAAAATAGTATGGCAGAAAGTAGGTTTGACCAACATACCTCATCATATACCAAGATAAGGTCAAAATGGGTACATGATTTATACCTAAACAATGATACCATAAGCAAATTATGAGAGCATGGAATAGTTTATCTGTCAGATTTATGAATAAAGGAAGAATTTAGAAAAAAAGAAGGTATAGAAACTTTACAAAATATAAAATAAATAATTTTGATTATACAAAATTTAAAAGTTTTTGTGCAAACCAAACGAATGCAACCAAAATTATAAGGAAAACAGAAAACTGGGCAGGAACTTTGCAACAAGTATCTCTGATAAAGACCTCATTTCTCAATATGTTTGAATATAGAATATATTTGGATATAGAGAACTGAGTCAAATTTATAAAAATACAAGTCATTCCCCAGTTGATAAATGATCAAAGGATATGAACAGGCAGTTTTCAGACAAAGAAATCAAAGCTATCTATAGTCATATGAAAAAATATGCTAAATCACTACTGATCAGAGAAATGCAAATTAAAACTACTCTGAAGTATCACCTCATACCTATCAAAGTGGCTAATATGATAAAAAAGGAAAATGTTGGATGTTGGAGGGGATGTGGGAAAACTGGGACGCTAATGCACTGTTGGTGGAATTGTGAACTGATCCAACCATTCTGGAGAGCAATTTGGAGCTATGCCCAAAGGACTACAAAACTGGGCATACCCTTTGATCCAGCAATACCACTGTTAGGTCTATATCCCAAAGACATCCAAAAAAATGGAAAAGGATAAAAAATATTTGTATAAAAATATTTATAGCAGCTCTTTTTGTGGTAGCTAAGAATTAGAAATCAAAGGGATGCTCATCAATTGGGGAATGGCTAAACAAGCTGTGATATATGATTGTAATGGAATATTGTGCTGTAAGAAATGACAAGCAGGATGATTTCAGAAAAACCTGGAAAGACTTACATGAACTGATGCATAGTAAAGTGAACAGAACCAGGAGAACATTGCACACAGTAACAGCAATAGTGTACAATGAAGAACTGTGAATGACTTAGCTATTGTCAACAATACAATGATCCAAGACAATCCCAAAAGACTAATGATGAAGCGTACTATTCACCTCCAGAGAAAAAACTGATATTGATCGAATACAAATTGAAGCATGCTATTTTTCATTTTCTTTATTTTTTTCTTTTATTCAAGTTTTCTTGTACAAAACGACTAATATGGAAATGTTTTACATAATTGTACGTGTATAACCTATATCTCATTGCTTGCTGTCTTGGGTCGGGGAGGGGGGAGGTAGAAGGGAAGGAGGGATAGGGTTTGGAACTCAAAACTTTAAATAAAAATGTTTTTTAAAAAATTTTAAAAACATTCTCACTAGTGAAAAACACTTGGAAGACATCCCTGCCTCCTCCCTTCCAGAATCCAAAAGGGAAAATCATGATTGACCTCAACACTGACTGAGTCCCTGCCATGGGCTAAATGGAGGATTTGGAGGTGAGAGGAGAATGCAAAGAGGACTAGGACATGAGGACCTTACAATCTCAACTTCCCCATTCCTAAAGAAATCACCCAAGCTGGCAATATATTTGATTCCTTTCTCATTCTCTCATGTCCTGTAACCAAGCAATCATCAACCCTCCACCATGCCCATCACATCCATTGTCTCTTTTCTATTCTCATTGTTAAACCCTCTTCACCTATTTGGTGTTGTTGTCAGTAATTTCCCAACTGGTCATTGGCCAACTCCCCAGGATTTACTCAGCCCTGAATTACCAGGACCAAGGAGGATGGAAGTTATCACTAAAGGCCATCAGCAAGTTTACTTCTAAAGCAGCATCCACTCAGCCCTCTGTCCATCGCCACAGAGCCTATGCCCCAGCATGACACGACATATGATCCTCCAAGCCACCACTGATTTTGACCTACTGTGCCCTGGCACCATATACTTAGAAGACTGTGATGTAAAGGGTCAGGAGGGAAATGTCTATGCCTGTCACAAACTGCCCAGAACTAATGACTTCCATCACCATGTGACTTTACCTCTTACCATCAACCCTTTTGTCTCCAATTTCAATCTATATAGCACTTCAATCAATTTATTTATTCAATAAGGATTTATTAAATGCTTACCTTTTGCCAGGTTCTGTGCTAGACATTGTAATACAAAGCCAAAAATGAGACAATTCCTGCCTTCAAAGAGCTTACATTTTACCAAACATATACACATGTAAAGAAATATAAAATATATACTAAGTAAATACAAAATAATTTTGGGGGGACACTAGCAACTGCGGGGAAAATCAGAAAAAATTTTGAGTTCAGGAGATGGCACTTCCCTTATCCCATGGCTGGCAAACCTCATGATCTCCTTATTAGTCCTTGCAATTCAGTCACCATCTATAGAAACCCCTTTGGGTTATTTCTCTTCATTCATTCCTATCCATTTCTACCCCATTTCCTCCTCGATCCTCTCTTCTCCCCCGCCCCCATTCCATTGTGTCCCTTGGGCACCACTGTTAACAAACTCTTCCTTCATCCAGATCTTTTCCTCTTTCACTCTTTTGCCATCTTCATGGAAATCTAGCATTCTTCTCATTCCTTCTCATCTTTTCTCCAAGGCTGACTGCTCCTCTTGACACAGTGTGCCAAGAGGAGGAGCTGGCCTGCCCCATACTCCCTATAGCCACTGCCTGATGCTGCCGTCCCTCAGCACCCTAAGATGAGCTCCAAGGAAGAGCAATGGATGAGGCCCAGGGCTTCCCAGGGCACTCTCACTGGTAGTCCTCCCTCCCTTGCCTCTGCTAAATCACATGTTTTGTACTTATTCATCTGGGTATATGTCCTTTCTCCTCAGGATGATTTAAGTTCCCTGGAAGCAGAGATGATTTAATTTTTGCCTTTACATCCCTAATGACTCACACAGTGCCTGGCAATCAATGAGCATTTCTTCAGCATGCTCTAATACACAGTCATCGAACTGAGCTGAAGTGACTCCATCTCTTAGTATCCTGTCTACATCCTTGTTGTTGCCAGCTATTGGCTTCTGCGTTGCTTTTCCTGCTTTCTTAAGGAGGTCAAAAGCCTGAATCACAGCCTCTTCCTCCAGCCCTGCGCTTGCCTCATACTTGGCAAAGTCAGGACTCACAATGATGTCTGTTTAAACATCCTGCTTCCAAACTCATGAACCTCCTTAACTGTCATGGCCTACATTTCCACTCTACTTCTGCTACACAAAAGGCTGGTTCTAGCCTAGACCCCTCCATCATTCCATGAACTTTAAAAAAATTTTATTTTGAACTTAAATACAAAAAGACAAAAAAGAATATTTCCATGTACACAACACAACATAAAAAGAGGATTCAATATGTCATGAATTTCCATTTCACACTGTTTACTTTTTTGGAAAAACTATGTAATAAAATAGTACACATTGTTTTCAAAGCCACCCTGCTTTTCAGTGCTTACTTCTGAGTTTTCTTTTGGTCTTTGTTGCGTACTTTTTATTTTGTTTTCTCCCTCCCTCCCCAACCCACCTTAGAGAAGGCTGCCATTAGATACAAATATGTATGTATATGTAAAACCATACAATGCATACTTTTATTTATCAATTCTTTCTCTGGATGTTGATAGCATCTTTCTTCATAGGTCCTTTGTAGTTGATTTGAGTATTTATAATAATCAGTCAAAGTTGTTCTTAGTACAATATTACTGTTACTGTGCACAGCATTGCCTTGGTTCTGCTCATTTCACTCTTCATCATTTTGTGCAAGTCTTTCCATGTTTTTCTAAAATCAACTAGCTCATCATTTCTTATAGTACAGTAATATTCCATCACAATCATACACCACACCTTGTTCAGCCAGTCTCCAATTGATGGTCATCCCCTCAATTTCCAGTTCTTTGCCATCTCAAAGAGAGCTGCTAGTAATATTTTAAAACGTTTAAGTTCTTTTCCTTTCTCCCTAATCAGCTTGGGAAACAGACCTAGTAGTGGTATTGCTGGGTCAAAAGGTATAGGTAATGTAATAACTCTTTGAACGTAATTCCAGATCGCTCTCCAAAATGGTTGGATCAGCTCACATTTCCTCCAACAGTGAATTAACGTTCAATTCTTCCACATCCTCCAACATTTGTTGCTTTCTCCTTCATCCCACAGACTCTTAGACCTCTTTGATCTTGAGTTCTGACCTTTCCGATCATCACCTCCTATTATGACATCCTGACATCCTCCCACCCTCCTCCTAAAGCTATTCTTTGTCTTTCCCATGACCTTAGTCCCTCCATTCCTTCCTGTTCTCCCAGTCCAGAGGTGGGGAACCTGCAGCCTCGAGGTTACATGTGGCCCTCTAGGCCCTCAAGTGTGGCCCTTTGATTGAATTTTCACAGATTCTGTGAAGTTTGGATTCAGTCAAAGGGCTGCACTTAAGGACCTGGAGGGCCACATGTGGCCTTGAGGCTGCTGGTTCCCCACCCTGGTCCCAGTCCATCACCCTGACTATGGCCTCACTTTCTTCTTATCAAGCTTGACCCAATGATTTTTTTCAATAATTTTATACATATTTCACAGTCCATCCATGTTCCCTTCTCCTTTCAATGATCGATCTCTTGGAACAAAGAATAAAAAAGAGGGAAAAACTTCAGCAAAACTAACCAAATTATTGGAAAAAGTTTGACAATATATTCCACACCCATCATCCCCCCTCTGCAAAAAGATTTTGTCTTTATTTATGCGTCTACATATTCATTAAAATGTAACCTCTTTGAAGGCAGGAATGGTCTCATTTTTTGGCTTTGTATTCCGGTGTCTAGCACAGAGTCTGGCACGTGGCAAGCCTTTAGTAAATGCTTGTTGAATGAATGAACTGCTTCCCTGCAATCCCCTCTGCCTAAAAGTCTCTCTCCTCTTTCGCTGCCAAACCTCCAGAAAGACTACTTCCAAATTCTTACCACCTAATGCCATCTTGACTCCTCCCAATCTGGTCTCTGATGACACCTTTCTACTGAAACCACTTTCTCCAAAGTTACCAACAATTTTACAAATGGCTAAATCCAGCAGCCTTTTCTCAGTCCTCATCTTTCTGGATGTCTTCCCAAGTTATGACATACCCTCTTCCTGGACACTGTCTCCTCACACGGCTTCCATGACACTGCTGTGTCTTGGTGCTTCTCGTGCCTTTTGGACTACTCTCTTTCAGTTTCCTTTGCTGTATTAATAGTCATCTATCCTAAGTTTGGGTGTCTGCCAAGGCCCTGCCCTACCCTGCTCCTTCTTTTCTATAAAGATGACTCCCAAACCTATTTATCCATCCATTCCTAACATCTCTTCTGCACCCTAGGCCCACACGAATGAGCCCTGAATGGCCCCTCAGCTTCTCAAATTCAACATGTTGAAAACGGAATTCATCCTCATTCTCCATCCTCCAAACTTCCCTACCTCTGTTGAAGGTACCTCCACCCTCCCAGAAATGACCTTTGACTCATCTTTCACGATTTCCTTTCCCTCATACTTCATATACAACCAAGTGCCAAGTCTTGCCCATTCTGCTTCCATATTTCTCACATCTGTTCTCTTCTCTCCACTCCCAGAGTCACCACCCTAGTTAACATCTTATCACCTCTTGCCTTGGTCACCATGCCTTCAGTCTTTTCTCTCTTCAATTAATCCTCCTATAGCCCAGATCTAGCCATGTCACTCCCCTCTCAGAAACTTTCAGTGACTACTCACTGTCTAAAAGGCAAACTCCTCAGTCTGGCATTTAAAACTCAGGAATCTGGCCCTAACCTATGTCTTCAGCTTCATCTCACCTCTCTCCATCTTGTAGACTGAAGTCCAGCCAAATTGAACTATTTCCATTGAATACTGTCTCCTACCTCTGTATGTTTGCATAAGGCTCAGGAGGAACGCTCTTACTCTCAGCCTCCTTGTCTCAGCCCAGGACATCTTCTCTGACCCCCCTAGTTTTTTGGGCCATTTTCCTGCTCAAATAACCTTGTGAGTACATGTTGTATTCACCCAATAGAATGTAAGCTCCTTGGGGGTAAGAACAGCTTTGTTTTTGTCTTTTTTTTTAAACTCTCAGCATTTAATACAATTCCTTGCTTTTTCTTTGTTGAACATTGCTGGTGTTACAGACTGAGTTCAGAACCCTCAAAAAATTGAAGCGTAGAAGAAGCGATGACCTCCCTCGGTCAGTTCTTGAAAGTGACGCCAGGCAATGGAGGAGTGGAAGGAGAAGAGGAAGGAGAAGCCTACCTTATCAAAGAGCCCACACTCACAGATGAGCTGCTCTCTGGCCTTCGTGTTGATGGCAATGGTGAAGCGCACATGAGCCACCAGGAGCTGTGGAGGAGACGAGAAGCCAAGTCAGAGCGAGGATCCGCTGTGATGACATCACATGAGGCAGTGCCCCTTCCCCCACTCCCATCAGACCCCCCCTCATGCTGGTGCTGGGCCAGCCCTGGCAGGTGCCCTAGAGCAGCTGTCTGAAACTGACTTTGCATGTTTGCTTTAGGGTCACACTCATTTCTTTATACTGTTATCTAAACCTTTGTTTCTCTTCACAAAGGCTCTAATCCAGTTATCTATTCCCCTGAACAAAAGGGCAACAAATTATGGCTTGTGGGGCTGCAGAGGGTTGATATACCTGCTGTAGGTGACACCTGCCAAAAACACTCCATGCCTATTGATTTGAGTACACTGTATTCTTTCCTTGGGTACTGAAGTAACACAGAATGATACTACTGCACAACCAGAAGGGTATACCATTTAATTTTCAGCCATCGATGATCACTGGTGGCCTAGAGAAACAAGCCTCTATTCATGCGAAGGCCAGAAAACCTGGCTTTCCTTTTGTCCTGGTTCTCCCATCCTGGGGTCCTCATGCTGTTTTACATGCCACCTCAAAGGCCCGGACTGGTGTGATGTTTGTCTATGAATTCCGAGAGCCTGGCACAATGCCCAGAAATAGAAGGGGCTTGATATATATATATACACATACATACATGTATATATATATATATATATATATATATATATATATATATATATATATTTGTCTAATTGTTGAATGGATAACCCAGCACAGGAAATTCCTCTTTTCTGAATCTCATGGAATGAAGACCTGAATAGGAGCAACCTGAAGGGGGGAAGGAACTCCAAAGTACTTCCTCCTGCCTTCAGGCAGCTTCACTATACAAGACAGAGGGCAACCTCTTCTCTTTTTCAGAATCTTTGGGATGCCAAGGAGAACAAAGAAAGAGGAGAAGGACCCTTCATACAGCAATATTTATAGCAGCTCTTTGTGGTGGCAAAAAACTGGAAACTGAGGGGATGCCCAGCAAGGTGGCATAGGGATGTAACAGGATCCTGCTGTGCTGTAGGGAATGATGAAAGAGGCAGTTTCAAAGAAACATGGGAAGACTTGTATGAGCTGATGCAAAAGGAAGTAAGAAGATCCAGGAAGACAATTTATACAATGAGAACAGCTTTGTAAAGTAAGACATCTTTGAAAGACTTAAGAACTCTGACTAGTGCAATGACCAAACATGATTCCAGAGGACCAATGATGAAAAATACTACCAACCTCCTGGCAGAGATATGATGGACTAAATATATAGGAGACGTGTATTTTTGGATGAGGCCAATGTGGGAATCTATCGTGCTTGATTATGCATATTTGCTACAAGGATTTTGGTTTTCTTTGCAGGGGGGCTGAGAAAATAAATGCCTTTTAATTGAAAAAAAGATTTTTAAATCTCTGGACATAGGAATGCCATACCCTCCATACCATCCCTATCCACCCCATTCTAGTGTTTCATTACTTCATCAGCCAAGAGGTCCTTCCTTCCATCATCTACAACTTACCTGCTCTAATTTGTTTATTTTCATTTTTCTTTTGATCCCTCTTACTTCCTCTTTCCCCCCTCTTCTTCCCATTATCTCTTCAAGGTCCCTTATCACCTGAGTTTCTCTGGAAATGAGGTAGACAGCTTGTTATACCTTGAAAACAGGGTGCACAGCTGGAAGCTGCCGAAACATGGCAATGCCAAACACCTCGGACATGAGATGTGTTCGTAGGAGGTGGGTGATGGTCTGGTGGACGTGGAAATCAGAAGATCGAACCCAGATTTTGGCCAGAAGCCAGTCATACTTTGCATCAGAAGGGAGGAAAATGGGGTTATCATCTCCTGGAGTTTGATTAATCTGAAAAGGTAGGAAAAGAAAAAAAAAGCTAGGACGCTTGGTTCCTAGAGCACACCGATTGATGATCTAATCTTATAGAGCAAGTCTGGAAAGATTTAGAATCACGAAAGGTCCAAACTTAGTCATCATCTGCTTTAACGCTCTCATTTTACACGTGGAAAGCCAAAGAAGGGAAGCAGTTAATGGAGTTACAGAGTGTTGGAGTCTCAGATTCTCATCTCTGACCCATGAGGAACAAATTCAGTTTAACTTCTAAACCAGGGTTCTTAACCTGGTTAAACTAGATTTAAGAGGGTCAGTGGATTCATTTTTTTAAATCTCTATTTCAATATTAAAACTTTATTTCAGTATCATTGCTTTCCTATATATTCCTATGTATTTTGTTTTATGCATTAAAAACATTATTCTGGGAAGGGGTACATAGGCCAAAAGGTGTTGATGATACCAAAAAAAAAAAAAAAGATTAAGAGCCCCTGATCTAGACCATTCAACTTTCTGGAGTTGGTTGGGTTGTGTCCTGAATTTTGGCTTCCTGTTCCTTTGGTCCTGTGAAATATCTCTCTTCATTTCAATGCTGAATCCCACTGCCTTCCTTCTTTCCCTGACTCAATGAGTCACATTTGCTTACTAATCCTAAAATACTCTTTTATTTCATCCTTCAGGGAAATTTTGTGACTGGTTCCAGTTGCCTCTCCTGACTCCACCTGCCCTTCTAAGGCTTGATTATCCATAGATATGAGCATTTGGAGCAGTGGATGGAGCTTTGGACTGGGAGGCAGGAAACCTGGCTTCTAGTCTCAGTTTTGCCACCAGCTGTGTGAGCGTGGGCCAGTCACGTCCCCACTTTCCACACTGCCTCTGGTTCCAGGAGGACCCTGCTTCTGGACAAGTCACTCTCCATGTTCTCCATTGCCAGACCCAAGGTTGGTCCCTTCAGTCACACCTAAACACAAGCTTTAACAGCTTCATTGTACATTTCACTGGGTGAAGGAGTCGGGCCATTGAACTAAGGAGGAGAGGAGAGGAGAGGGAGGAAGGTGGGGGAAATGGTCACACCAATAGAATTCGCTGGGGGTAGGGTGAAGATATAAAGATAGAATGGCATGACTGACCCCCCCCCCCAATAAATCTATCTCCTTGGCTCTCATTTCTCCCTTTCCACCATTTCTTCTACTGACAAAGGAAATGGTGACAGCCATGTGGGATGTGTGCATGAATGCACGTGTCTATGGGGGTGTGTATATGTATAGGGTGGGGAGTCTATCAGGAAAACATCAACTTTCTGGACCTGAGCTGTTTGTGGCATTCAAAACCATCCTTCCCTGCTTGGTTCAACCCTTCTCAGCCAGACCTCACATTACACCTTCCCTGACCCCCTCATTGGGTGCTATGAAAAAGCGTAAAGCATTTTTACAAATTTATACTATTATTATTATAAAGAAGCAAAGAAAAGCATAGCATTTGGGACTAGTGTTAATGAAGTCTGATTTGAGGGAAGAGCACTAGCTCCATAGACAGAAGACCTGGGTTCAAATCCTGCCTCTGGCTTGTACTATCTGTTTGACCTTGGACAAGTCACAACTTCGCCAGGCCCTAGTTTCCTCATCTATCAAATGAGGGGGTTATATTATGACTTTTGAAGATCCTTCTAACTCCAGATCTGGGGGGCTAGGAAGTAGATAAGATAACTTTTTGAAGTCCTCTTTCAACCCTGGAGACAAGGTAGCAGCAGATCCAGATGTTGTCCCCCTCTTTTATTTTCCACTTTTCTTTTGCCCTAAATGGGTAGATGGCTCAATGGATAAAGCACTGGACCTGAAGTTTAGGAAGACCTGAGTTCAAATCTAGCCTAAGACACTTCTTATTTTGTGATGCTAAGCTACTCACTTAACTTCTGTCTACCTCAGTTTCCTCAGCTGTGAAATGGGAATAATAATAGTACCTACCTTTCAGGGCTGTTGTGAAGATCAAATGAGCTGACATCTGTAAAACACTTAGCACACTGCCTGGCAAACAAGAGGTGCTTAATAAACACTTGTTTCCACTCCCCTTTTCTCCAGTCCATGAGAAGGGGAAGAAACCCAGATCCTCTGAACTGAAGGTTATTCCTTCTCCTCCACATTTCTCATGCCACTCTGTACTTGTCTTATTCTCCCTCTAGGAGACTTAAGGGAAGGAACTGGGCTACTTCCCCCTTTGTTTGTATGTCTAAAATTTGGTAGTCTCTCCAGAATCCTTTCCAATATTCACTATTCATACTTCCTGATGCCATGTCCTTTTCTCCCCTCTAAGACTTCGTTCTATGGCTCAACCCATCTCTTTCTTTCATATTCCATATTTTCCTCTCTACTATCATTTCCCCTTCTGCCTATGAGTGAATAAATGACTGAATGAATGGGGTGGGGGACTTTCATTAAGTGCTTACTAGGTGCTAAGTGCTGGGATACAAATACAAGAGTGAAGACAGGCCCTGTCTTCAAGATGCTTATGTTCTAATATTGGGAGATCACATGTGAGGGGGAAGAGCGGTGGGGAGGCGTATTTTGGTTTGAAAGTTATAAGGATGGTGAATGGGGTGTAGGAGAGTAGATTGATATGCACCTATGAGCATGCTCAAATCTTCCCAATCCTAAAAAAACAAACCAACCTCAACCTCACTTTTAATCCCTCAAGCTGTTGTTCCATGCCTCTCCTTTTCCTTCCTTGTGGATTCTCCCTCTGCTAGTACACACTGAGACCCTTCCACAACTCAGGAATTGCCTTCCAGAGCTGGTGACTAAAAATGTCATTACTCAGCTCCCAAGACATCCATGAGCCTCCCGGGACTTAGCTAAGCTGGTTCCCAAATGAGAGGCATAACGACCATCACCAGGCCCATGTCTGAAGTTTTCACAACTTGGTAAGGGCTACCAGATCTTGCACTATCCTGGTAAAGCCATCCAGAGCACGGGGTCACCTCCCCCCCAAGACAAGGCATACAAAGGGGACATGGGTAAAAGGCTGCCCATTGATTGTCAGAAGACGGCAAGCACGCATCCCACCCTCTCACTCAGAATACTAATAGACCTGACCTGGCGTCCTCTAAGGACCGACCCACCTGGATGGCGATGGGGACAATTTTGTTCTCCAGGTTCTTGTACAGCAGACAGATGGGGGCTGCCAGGTACTGCAGGGTGCACGGGTCAGTTTTGTTGGCATCGATGCCATCCAGAATTTCAAAGTCCACTATGAAGATGTTCCCTTGCTGTCAAAGGAAGAGAGGCCACTTTTTCTTTTTTCTATTTAAAATGTTAACCTTGTTTATATTGATAACTTTTGTTTTCACATCACCTTAATTTCTGAATATAGCTTGGCCCCATTCTCCACCCACTGAGCCACCCCTTGTTACAAAGAGGAAAAGGAAAAAAAAGCAGGTTAGTAAAACTAACCACCCAATGACTGTGTCTAATAGAATGCGCAGTTTTCAGTCTCCATAATCTCCACTTCTTTGATGATGGGAGACAGGTGCATTTTCCAAATTAGAAGTCAATTTTTCAACTCATATTCAGCCTAAAAGGAACCTCTAAGGTTGACCGACAGTCCAGTGACATTAAATCTTGATCAATGGAGAGAGACTAGGCCAGACTAATCTCTCCATTTCCCCCAACCCTGTCCCCAGAGTATTCAAGAGTGGGCTCCTTGAGAGAGAATGGGAGGGGCTGCTGTGGCACCCCAAGCTCGGGTTTTGATTCGCCCTCCAACACCTCTTCTATCCCTGTCCCACCCTCTCACCTTGACCCCCTAGCCCAGCACCGACACTGTGGAAGACGCTGGAAGACAACATAAGCAGCCAAAAAAAAGGGAAACGCTGTCCTGGGCTATACTGAGAGAGGAACAGGGAAGTAAAAGTCCTGCTGTCTGTCCTCGGCCTTGCTCAGACAGCCGGCAGCTGCGTTTAGTCCTGAGCACTTCAGACAAGCTGGCATCTCCGGAGAGATGAGGCAATTGGTATTACCCAAAGAGTCATCGTGCCCCGAGGGAGGGGTCTGCCAATTAGCTGTGGCTGCTTTTACCAGAGGTTTCAGGGAGTTGCTTGGTTTCTCTGAGAGATTTTTGTGCAATGAGCACGGGCACCAAGCCGAGTTTTATTTGCTCAGCAGCACGATGGTGTAAGTGGAAAGGGCAGAGGACTCAGACCCAGGAGCCTGGCATTTAAATCCCAGCTTCGACACTTCCTAGCTCTGAGTCCATGGATAAGTCATCAAGCTCTCTGAGCCTCAGTTTCTTCCTCTGTAAAACGGGGTTAATAACACACACATTGGCTACCTTAGAGGGCGATTGTGAGAAGGGTACTTGGTAAACTTTGGAGCATTATTTAACATGTGATTCATTAGCTCTCACACTTCCTTCCTTTATCAGAGCAATCCTGAACTTCCTTCCTGAAATTCTCTCCTGATAGAGAAAACTATCACCTAATCTCCTACTCTGCCCGACCACTGCCAGTAACGGAATGCGTTCCACTGTTGGGCAATCCTAATTGTTAGAACGCGCCTCTTTTATATGGAGCAGAAAGCTTCCAGGCTGTGGCTTTTACCCATGGGTCCTCATTCTGCCTCCTGAAGCTAGACAGAATAAGTCTGCTTCTTAAAGTCCAGGTCTCACCAAGTCACCTCCCCCTCCCTGCCAACTCAAGAAATGCCAGGGGCACCCTATCACTTCCAAGATCAAACAGAAAATCCTGACGGTGTTCAAAGCCCTTCCTAACTCCCCCCTCCCCCTCCTCCTTTCTCATCTTCTTACTCCTCATGGCCCTCCCCACCCACTGGTTTTCTGTGATTCAGGGTCACTGGTCTCCTGGCTGTTCCTTGAACAAGATGCTTTGCCTCCCATCTCTGGGCATTTTCACCAGTTGTCCCCCCCCCACCCTTTGTGAAATGCTCTCTCATCTCTGCTTCCTCAGAGACTTACTTTAAGTCCGAGCTAAAATCCCACCTTCTATAGGAAGCCCTTCCCAGCCCCCTCAATGCTAGTGCCTTCCCTCTGTTAAGACGTACTGTTCATCCTGTCTCTGTCTTGTCTGGCTGTTGCTGTCTGCATGTTGTCTCTCCCCATCATACTGGGAGCTCCAGAACAGCAGGGATTATTTTTTCCTTCTTTGTAGCCCCAGCTCTTGGCACGGTTTTGCCGGGTATGTGACAGGCTCTTGCTGGCTCATTGACTGACTACCTTCTGCATGACAGCTTGCCTGGTCTTATCACTGGGTAGCCAGGGGGACTGAGGAGGGTGGAGTGAGGCTCACCTGGGCTTCTCTGATAGTGTTGGGTGGTTCAAGAATAGGATGCCAAAAGCTGAGGCTGTCGCTATCAGCCAGTATCAAGAACGCTGAGGACTAAGTAACAGGAAGAGAACAGAATATCTAATGCCAAATGGAGGGATGAGCCAGGAGCTAATGCTGACGATATGTAAGCAGGTTCCCATACTCAGTTAAACATCGATCCCGAGTCAAAGACTCTGGACACATAACTTCCAGAGCCTCCATTTCCTTATCTGTAAAATGGGGGTGTTATTAATACTTGCCCATCCTATCCCACAGGATTGTTGCAGGGTAAGCATTCTATAAGCTCTAAGGTGCTATGGAAATGTAAATTATCTTTTGCTATTTATATCATCATCCAAATTGTAAATAATAATGATGAGTGGTTCATGGGCCAGAAAGAAGCCCAGTGGTTCTGTGAGAAATTGGACCAGATAATCTCTGGCTGCAGATCATTGACTCTGGAGCCAGAGTCTGGGGGTTCAAATCCCGTCCATGCGGCCTTAGGGAGCCCTCGTCTATAAAACGAAGAGTCTGGGTTAGATGGGTTCTATAGGTCCACGGGTCCATAAGCTCTAAGGTCCTCCCATCAGCACAGAGCGGGGCAAATACTGGACTTGGAGTGTGGGACTATGGGCAAATGCCTCAGCTTCCCTATCTGCTCGACGGGGATAATCATGCCAGGACTGTCTGTTTTCCGTTGGTCTGAGGGGCTGGTGCTAAGAGCTATTGAAATATGAGCTACTGGGGCCGCTAGGTGGCGCAGTGGAGACAGCACCAGCCCTGGAGTCAGGAGGATCCGAGAAATGGGAGCCGTTGTTGACAATAGTAGGAGAGGAAGAGAGACGGAGCCTGGGTCTGGGTCTACCATTTAATTGGTAAGAGATGTCCCAAGGGGAAAAGTCCCTCTGCTAATGCAGGTCAGAACCTCATCTGCAACTTAGACGTTAAAAGTGACTTGCTCAGGCTTGTCACACAACCGGCATGTGTCAGAAGCAGTGAGACCTGAACTCAGGTCTTTCTGGCTCCGAGGCCAGCCCTCCATTCACAGTACCATGCTATTTCTACGATGTGATGATGAAACATAAATACATGATCATATGACACTACTATACACAGGGTGTACCAAAAGTCTTAGTGCAGGCTGAAGCTATTAAAAGAAAATTCTGCAATAGAATAGGGATTCGTAACCTTAGGTATGGATGGATTTCAGTGGGCCTGTGAAATTGGATGGGGAAAATTACATTCATTTTCACTAACCTTTGGTTTCCTTTGTATTTCTTGGTATTTTATTTTATGCATTTAAAAACATAATTCTGAGAAAGATTCCATGGGCTTCTCCAGACTTCCCAATGGGTCCAGGACACACAAAAAATGTTAAGAACTCCTACTCTAGGGCATATCATAGCTGGAAGAGGGACAACTTTGGCCACACTAAGATCTGGATTCAAGACCTGCCTCTGAGAAGCACTATGTGACCATGGACAAGTCATTCAACAGCTTTGTGTTCCAAGCAGTGTTCTAAAACTAGAAAGGATGCTGATCTGCATAGGTTGGTGATATTTCCCATGCTAGCAGTTCCCTAAACTGATGAAATCAGTTTACACAAGCATACAATTCATGTCATATTCGATCAGTAAGCAGATATTAAATGCCTACTATATACCATGGGGCAGCTAGGTGGTGCAGTGGATAGAGTGCCTAGCCTGGAGTCAGAGTTCAAATCTGGCATCAGACATATACTAGCTGTGTGACCCCAGGCGAGTCACTTCACCCTGTTTACCTATTTCCTCATCTATAAAATGAGCTAGAGAAGAGAATGGCCACTCCAGTATCTTTGCAAAGAAAACCCCAAATGGGGTCAGGAAGAGTTGGATATGACTAAAACGACTGAACAATAATCGGTCTACACCAGGCAAGGCACACAGCGCCGGAGATATGAAAAAAATGAAACTGTCCCTGCACCAAAGAGCTAACTTTCTATTAATAATGAAAGCAAGAAAGGAAGGCAGCCATTGGGCCAGGGTGCTGCTGCTACCTGGATCTCCTCTTCCAAGGTCAGCTGCCGCTCCAGGCTGCACTCCACCATCTCTGTGGTCACTGGGAACTTCTCTGGGATCTTGGTGCATCTCTGGATCATGACTGGGTTGCATCCATTCAGAAACTGGTAGCCAAACATGAAATCCTCCTGCCAGTGCTGCATGACATATTCTATGAGGGAAACAACCCCCGCTTTAGTCCTTGGCACCTCCTGGCTCAGCCAGATAGCCAAGAGCCCCTGGGGTCCAGGAGCGGATCAGCGAGAGCTGACTTGGGCTTTCTTTCTCAGCAATACAAAGAAACCCAAAGGTTTGCACCTCCTGGGGATGGTTTGGGGTGAGTCTCCAGGCGTTTAGGTCAGGACCCATACAGCCATACCATGAAGCTGTCTCTTGACTCAGACTACTGGTCTTCCAGTCGAGACTGTGGTATAGAGCTCAGCTCCAGGAGCCCCATATGGGTTCCAACCTATCAAAAAGAGAAGTTTGACCCAACTCTCTTCTTGACCCTCCACTGAACTGAAGCCCTTGATAGGGAAAGGGTATAGAATCAACCCTTCTGGCCAGCTACCACCATATCTTTGATCATGATTCTGTCTTTATCAATCAACCAATGGATCAATAAGCATTGATTAAGCATCTTTGATATGCTAGGCACTGTGCTAGGTGTTGGTGATACAAAGTCAAAAATGGAAAAGTTCCTGATATTGAAATCTGGGTTCAAGATTTACCTATTGCCTGTGTGACCTCAGGCAAGTCACCCAAACTCTGAGAACTGGAGGCAACTCTTAGAGACCATGAATCCAGAGAAGGTGCCCATCCACTCGATAGAGGGAGTTTCCTCACCAGCAAGTTCCTTATACTAATGAAATCATAGGGCCTGTCCCTATGCCCTCCAACCTTTAGGGAGCTTATATTCTACTGGAAACACAATTTCCAATAGAATATGTGTGTATGTGTATAAGTGTGTGTGTGTGTCTGTCTATATAGATATATTCCCACACGTGTATAGTAGATATCTTCCTATATCTGTTTGTCCATTTATTTATCCATCTATCCGTCTACATACACACACACACACACACACACACACACACACACACACACACACACAGTAATGGGCAAGGGATGGCACCAGTAGCCACGGGAGTCAGGCAGGGTCTTTCAGGTAGCCTACCTGAAATGGTGTTACTGATCTTGACAAAGATCTTCTCAAAGTCTGCGAAGTCACTCCAAGAAGACTGGAACATGTGCATGAAGCAATTCACAAAGAGATTCTCCATCCTGCAGACAGAGACCATCATCCATTAAGGATGGATGAAGTCTTGCCCTTGCAAGGGCACACGACCCTTGGCAGAGCCCAGGCCTTCAGTCCCAGCAAACAAAGGGCCCCCTCCATGCACTTCTCCCTCGGGCTCAGCTGAGCCGCAGCAGGCTTCACTGTGACCCTGGAGAGGGCATCCTATGGAGGCAGCTTGGTACAAGAGAAAGAGCATGGGGTGGGGAATCAGGAAGACCTGAGTTCAAATCCTGCCTCAGACATTCCCTTGCTGTGTAGCCCAGGTTTCAGTTTCCTCATCTGTAAAATGAAGGGGTTGAGTCAGATGGCCTCCCAGGTCCCTTCCAGTTCTAATCCTACTAATCAGGTCTAGACCCAGGAGGAAAGTTTGATTTCCTATGACTGCATTAGCCCTTTCTCTTTCTCCTAAGCAGCTGAACTACTATGTCTACTTAAGGTCATAGGGATCTTTGAGTCTGGTCAATGGAGATTAGAACAGTGGATCAGTCGGGGGAGGGGGACCAGGCAGTTTGGTCAGGCTTGCTTTACTCCTCAGTTCTCTCCTTTGTGCCGACCTTATACCTCAGGGAGATGCTAGCAGCCAACAAGAAGACTTCCCTCACCCAAGGGCCGCCTTTAAGGATTGTGCTGGGCCCTGGGAGAACACAAACCAGATGCATAACCTCGTCTTTGTTCGCAACAAGGTGTGTAGTGCATGGGCAGAGATGAGATTTGACATGACAACTCAAAGGGTTTCCCAAAAGAGTTCTAAGGCAAGAGAGAACACTGTGGCTGGGAGCATGTGGGAAGAGCCCCCATGCCAAAGGGTATGACCTTAACTGGGTCCTAAAAAGAAATCTGACCTTGGAGGTCCAACCCACCCCAGACCAGCTGTGTGACCTGGGACACACTTCCTCTCTCTGGGTCTTAGTTCCCCCAACTATAAAAGTCTCTGAGATCCCTGCTAGCCAGAAATGTGCCAGTAAATGTTTAACCACCAGCTCTCCAGAAAAAAAAAAGGGTACACATGATAAACTTTTAAGCATAATCTGCAAATTAACATTTTCTCCATCGTTTTCCCAAGTCTAGACAATCAACAAAACAATTAATCAAGGCCTGATTTATAGTGTTTGCCCATAGCTGAGGCATAAATGTTCACACTGAGAATGTAATAACTGGTTCTCATCAGCCAGCATGAGCTGCCTCCTGCATATCCCATTCTTTGAGCCCTATCCCATGGTTCTGTGAAGGAGGAGTAAGATTTTGATAGATACAGAGGATAGCCCCTCAGAACCTGGCTCCACACTACATTTCCAAGCTTAATTACCCTTTTCTTTTTGAGGCAATTGAGGTAAAATGACTTGCCCAGGGTCACACTGCTAGTGTCTGAGGTCATATTTGAACTCAGGTCCTCCTAACTACAGGGTCAGTGCTCTATCCGCTGCGCCACCTAGCTGCCCTTCCCCTTTATTTCTCTGTCTTGTCTTTTTGCTATTCCTCACACAGTGGGCACAGTAATAACATCACTATGACCATTGCTTCTAGAAAGGATGTGTCAATTGACTGTCCTATGGATCAAATAACTCACCCTCCCTGTGACTCCCCAGCTACCACTCCCCTATTAAAGTGTAAACTCCTTGGGGACAAGAGCTGTCCCACTTTTTGTATTTGCAATCACACTGCTTGGCAGGATGCCCTGCAGATAATAAGTGCTTAATAATCGCTTATTCATTCATTTATTCATTTTCCTTCATCTCCCCCTTCTGTGCCTTTGCACAGGCTGTGCCCTGTACTTGGAATACACTCTCTCCTCCATTCCATATCTTAGAATCTCTAGTTTCTTTCACAACTCAACCTGTCATCTCCTACATTGTGTCTTTCTTGATCTTTTCCACTGCTGGAGGCTTCCCTGCCCCAGGGTCAAATTAGTTTGTATTTATTTTGCATATATTTTGAATATATGCATATATGTTGTCTTCCCCACCAACAAACCTGTAAGCTCCTTGAGGTCAGGGACTGCTCCTTTCTGTCATTGTATGTCCAAGCACTTATTCTAGTAGCTCTGGAGTCAGGTCTTGGGTTCAGATCCTACCTCTGATGTGAGCTACCTGAGTGACCTTGGGCAAGTCACTCTCTAAGCCTCAATTTCTGAATCTTTAAATTGGGGGGAGGGTCAAATTAAATGACCTCTGAAGGTCGTTCCGGTTGTGGGTCTGTGATTCTATATAATGTGTTTCTGATTCAGGAACTCGTGTCTGATCTGAACTCTAATGAGAAATCATCATGCCTCAGTTTTTTTTTCTGTTAAATAAGTATCTCAAAGCATTCCTTTTATTCCCTCCCCCCCCAAAAAAAACACATGTGCATGTGTTGCATTGGGGCCGCCAAAGCCCACCTCCACAAGGTCCACAAGCTCTCTTGCTCCAACGCTACAAGGAGGGACTTGGGCTGTCCCTGGTGTGGATGCCACCACACCAGCACAGGCTGCCGCCCCTCTTTGCTCCAGGAGCTGCCAAGGCTCACATCACTTGGTGTCACTTGTCTAGGGCTGATGCCCTTCACAGGTGGCCAGGCTGGTCCTGAGATGACGGAACCCACATCCCTCACCAGACCATAGTCAGCATCCTTCTAGACTGTACTTGTACGCTTCTGGGGAGGTCTCGATAATCCAAGGTCTCCTCCACACCATGAGGAGACATTGGAGGATCTTAGTGGAGGAAGGCAAGCTGATGGAGTGGGAAGAAGGCAGGTTTGAGAGTCAGAGGACCTGGGTTCAAATTCCAGCTCTGCTACTTTCTGCCGATCTGCCTCAAGGCAAGTCATCTAACTGCTGTGGGCCTCAGTTTTCTCATCTGTAAAATATGGGGGTTGGTTTAGATGGCCTCTGCGCTCCCTTCCAACTCTGAATCTATATTCCTGTGATCCTGGGACACCCACTTTATCAAGAGGAGAAAAGACCCTACTCCCAAATCCAAAACCAGTAAGAAGCTACAGGACTAAACTCGAATGGGTTCCTCTGAGATGCTCACTCCACGCAAAGAGAGCTGAGCTGAAAACACAAACAAACCCTAAAGATGGACAGCTGGAATGCTAGAGGAGGAATTGAGACTATAGTGAAACTTTGGCTCTCTACCACAGGGGGTGGGAGTGAGAGAATCAGGGTAGACTTTGCTGGGTAGGTAGTTACGTGTGGCTCGAGTGGCTGGATAGGCAGGACAGCTGTACCATGGGAGCAAGAAGGCAGCAGCTGCTGCTGGGTCCCCTCAACAGGGCACTGGCCCTTTTCCCATTCTGAAGCCATTTTCAGACAATCCAAAAAGCCCAGAGACCCCAACCTTGGGCTGGCATTCCTAGGTTGGTCCTGATGTTGTAGGTATGGAGATGATTTTCTTGGACAGAGGGGGATTAAGACATTCAAGTGACTTCTTACTTGCTGAGTGATGAGGTTCTGAGAGTCTAGTGTCCTGGTAACTTTCCTTATGTGCTGCGTTTCTGTTCCCCCATATTGTGGGTGGCCCTGAAGAAGTCTTATGTGTGGCATTATGCTTTAGGCTCTCTGAGGCGCTGGACAGAAAAGACACTGAGTGAGCTGTCACCACAAGAGGGATGCAGCAGTGACATCCCTGCAAACACCTTCTGAGCACTTCCCTATTCCCATACCCTGATACTGGCTCACTGCAGATGAAGGATAACAGTATGGTTCGAGGAATTTCTTTCCTCACAGTAGAACACAGAGAGTTACCTTCTGCAATCAGATCCAATCATTAGGTCTAAAAGCTGCCACCAATGCCCCATTCACTAGTTATCAATGGATGAGGAAAGAGAAGGCCAAGGGCTCATTTATTAGGAGTCTGCAGGAGCCAATTCTAGGTCTCCAGTGTCAAGGCCATATTAAACCTTCCCTATATCTGAACAACTTAGATTGCTGACAGATGTCTTGGTTGGCACACCAAGTAGCTTTATCAGACTCTCCTCCAATGAGCAGGGTTTTCTCAGCTTTTTTCTGCATCTCTCCAGGACAAAAAGAGAAATCAGCAGCAACTGCTCCTGACAGTCCATCTGACTGGCCTGATGCCCTGTGGTCTGTCCAGCCTGTTCTGAGGAAGCATCAAGCATCTGAATAGGATCCGCACCCAAAGGCAAATAGCGAAATTATCAGGAGGTGGAGCCTGGCTTTCTGTGCTCTGAAGAGACCTCTTTTTCCTCATTCTGGAAGACATGAATCGCTCAATGTTTCAATGTTCTCTTCTTTCCCTACCATACTTAGGGAAGGTCTGAAAAATGTATTCGTACTAATAATGTACAAAAGAAGGCTTAATTAATCATTCCTCTAGGGGAAACATATATGAATATGTGTTAGAGACCTTATACCAAAGGCTATATTAATATATCTAATTGTGGAATTTCAGGCATTTATCAATGGAATGAAGACAGGATGATTGAGGATAAGGGAGAAGAGAAAACTACCCTGTGCCCTTGAAATCATGCAATATAGGTGGCCACCTTCTCCACATACTAATAAGGCTGGCCTGATAAGACTGGACCCTAGGTAATGAAGATCTAGAATTTAATCCATCTACCAGAATGACTATAGGGTTGGCTGTATCCAAAAGCTTTTATGCAGGACACATCCAGGGTCTGGAGAAAACCAGAAGACCTGCAGAAGTGTTGCAGAAGTGACCAGAAGCAACCCCAGGTCCCCACCAGTGTGTAGTCACACTTCCCTCTGCCCTAACCCCTAACGCTACAGCATCATCTTTTACTCAAAAGAGTTACTCCTCTAACAGATTTGAGTGTTCTCTTAAATTGAGGAAGTTCTACAACTTCATGAGGAAACTTGAGGTGAAAGCATTTACAAGGTCTGAGGAAGGGAAAAATATCTTCATAGAATGGGAGGAAACAGCCATGTCATCCCAGTTCTATGGAAGTGGTAAAGTGGCAAAAATGGAAACAGACACTGCTCCATGTGGGCTGGGAAGAGGAATCTCAGCAAGTGTGAGGGCGG